TGAACTGAACAACCTATACTAATGCATAATTGTGTTCATTACAATAATTTCACGTCCACAAATTTATTTATTCAGTGACTATTTAAGGGCTTTTTCCTCTAAAATCCATCTAAAATTTTCATGGTAAAACTGATAGGTATATTATAAGAGATGATACAATTATTACTTTTTATAAATTTCCAGCCCGATTTTACTTTCGAATACTGTACAAGAATATAAAAGAGCTGAATAAGAAATGACGGAGTCGAACTCAAAATAGTTTTCATATTTAGTCTTTTTTTTAATTTCCATATCCGAAATTCAATTCAAAACATCCTCACTACTATATTTACACATTACATAAACTCTAACAAAGATCATCCCTGCAAAATTTTGAAAATTATTTACACAATTTCATGTTGAACATACAAATTTTGCCCCCTAATAACGTAAGAATATACATATATTTCAAATAACTAGTTGTATGTTTTAATTATATAAAAATATATATTTTATTGAAGATTTTTCTAAATAATTAATAAGCAAAAAAAAATACAATGTTTCTAAATGCAAAATTATAATATGTGTTGCCAAACCTCCAAAAGCAATCTACCTATTAAAAGCCAAGGACACATAATAATTTGAATAACTAATCCAGTAGAATAAGATACCTATTACACAAACAGTATACTGTTATTCCTTATTAAAAACCTTTTTGTGAAAGCAACATCGCAAGCTATCTCTCTCTCTCACATAGTGACGTTAGTGTCCAAAAGTTGCTCACTACCAGATTTAGATTCAAACTAAGTAATGGATGGATTCTAATGGATCTACAATAAGATATATATATGAAATTAATTTTTAAAAAAAAAAAATTTTTAACAAGCTCTACTTTTTTTTGCCAATAATAAATACATGGCGTTACTGAAGAAATATATTAATTATGTTTTAAAAACAGACAAGCTATTCTGTATTAAAAGATTATTAGTTTTTCATTATTTTCGCAAAGACATCACATTAGACCTGAAGGAAGATTACAAAAATCCGTATTTATTATTTGGAACAACAAGTTTTCGCGGCACTTACAAAAAAACACTAACTTTACAAACTGTCCTACATTAAGTCACCAAACGACTATCACAAAATATTGCACACCGTGAAGGAGTATAGGTACATACTAGGAACTAAAATTACATCTGAGGGTGAAGATGTGCAATCATATTAAAGCTTTAAAGTATAAAAAAATTTCAAAAACATTTTTACAAAACTGGTTTTCGAATCTTGGCGCAAAAGGCGAAAGGCCAGGTCACACTTTATTAAAAAAAAATTAAACTTTACAACACGTACATTCAGCTCAAATATTTTGAAATATCGCGTCCCCTGTCCATAAAACGATTTCAGAAAAAAAAAAAAATGAAATGAATGATTTAGAATTTCCGACACTATCTCTAATGGAGAGGACATATTTTATTATATTTATACCCGAACCACGAAACAAACCAAATAAATTCTTTACATTATTTACACAAATGTACATTATTTTACACTATCTCACTTAATATCTTCATCTTCGTCTTCCGCGTACAATAAATCGTCCATTTTCGTCATGAATTTGCTGTTTAATTCTTGTTCGGTGGGCAAAGGAACATCCTGTAAGAATAAATAAATAAATAATAATAAATCGAAACCGAATTATTACTCAACCTACGTTAAATAAATAACACAAAATATTTACCACGTAGACTTGATCAAACAGGTTTAATTGTCTTCATTTCATCATTGAAGTATAAAAATGCTAGCTGTTTACTTTGACGTAATCAAATATACATATCGACGCTTGAAAGGCAAACGTGACTAAGCGATAATAACTGCTTTATACATAAATGATAGGCAATAACCATATTTGATGCGCAAAAAAGATATATTTCTAGGTCTATTAAAATAATTTCAATCCTACAGCTAGATTCGTTAAAATAGATTTTTTTTTCAGGTATTTCGACTTTACATTAGTCTACTGTAAAGATCACGCATTTTCGCTTAGTCACGTTTGCCTTTCAAGCGTCGATATGTATAATAAATAGTATTACATAGGTAGGTATATTTATGCATTCAAAGTGACCAGACTTACTAAGATTTGGTCCGACCTTATATTCCTTAAAAGATGGAATTAAATTTGATTGACTTTTCATTCTGTTTTAACTATAAACTAGAGGTCCCGCAGTAGTCGAAATTCGACTATAATTAATTGGAATTGTAAGCTTGTACACTATTAATATTGTATTTTATAATTCTATAATCATAAATTTCGCCAAGACTACACTATAAAAAATATTAAATATGACAAACTATATTTAATCTATTCTCAATTTGACATCAGACGTCAAAAACAAAAGTTTGACAATAAATAGTACCATGACATGGGGTAAATTGGGATCCTGGGGTAAATTGGGACAAACCTGCGGAAGATTCTCAAAGTACCTGTAGCACGGAATCTACCTAATTTTGTTTATGTTAATATTTATCAATGTATAGAAGAAAAACCAAGTTAACTATGAAAGTACTAAATATGAGTTAAGTTGGTCCCAAAAATTCGTCAAATTAAATTGAAAATAGTGGTTGAAAAGTGCGTTTTAAAACAGCTTACAGAACTTTTAAAAAAAGTAATATTATCGTTGTTTTTTCAATAAGATCACATTTTATATAAGTTTTTAATACACCTGGAAATACCACAACAAACGGTAAGTTGCAATATTCTTATATTAAATACAATATTTCGATAAAATAAAAAATGTATAATTTTTCCTTTCTTTTTTGGGAAAATTGGGACGTATGTAGGGTAATTTGGAACGAGACTGGAAAAATTAGGGACGAGAAAACACAAAATTGGAACGCCAAAAGACCAAATAGGGATGGATTGTTAGGGTTGTCACTGATATCTTATAATAGATTTTTTTAGCCTATACTACCACTCAATTGCGTGATGTAAAGAAGGTTAATGTGTTTATCAGTTAGTTTATGTAAGTACTATAAGTAAAAGAAAAGTATATATATAATTACATTTTTTCGTGACATTTACCTTGTAATATCTGCCCGGTCGTATGTCATTTATAGCAATAAAATAAAATTAAGAATTAAAAAGAACTCAAACTAATCAAAACTTTTGTTATTTCAGAATCTATTCACGCGTCGAATCATGATTTTTTTAATATTCACAACGCACATACAAATAAAAACAGGCCTCAGATTTTAAATGTAACATTAATTAAAAATCCGAGATATCTAGGTTCCAATTATGAGTGAGTGAATTAATTGAGTTTAGTTATTTAGCTTAGAAAGAATTTCTTTTATTTTTGTTATTATAGGCAGTAATCAGATAAATCTGCTTTTTTATCTTATTCACCTGATATCTTACTCTTGCTCAAAGATTATTTTGAAAATGTTGATTAAATAAAATTGTATTATTGCATTTCCAGTCCTTTTGTTTTCTATTTTTTATTCTATTTTATGATTTTGTTTCAGAGTTGTGATTTTTAAGGAAATTAAATAATAATTTTCTAAAATATAACATGCACATACTTTTTTTGATCATTGTATTGTTGATTATCATTCACGTCACATCGCTTCGGAATAGAAACCAGCTTAATTTACACTATGTTGTGTATTGTGCTTAAATTATGGATTGTATTCATCATTTCGGTCCATATAAATAATTGTATGGCACCTACCTACCTACCTATATATCGCAGTACCGCGAACTGACAACCCTTACAAATATCCCAATTTAACCCTTACCCGTGTCAATTTACCCCGAATGCGGGGTAAATTGGGATGGCCATTATTTTTCCGATTATTTCTTTAAATTGAATAATTAAAATAATGTAACGGTTTTTATCACCTAGGTACGTTCAAGACTCAACTTATTTCTTTGGTTGAGCAGTGACTATTTAATTGGAACTATGTTAAAATTCAATCTGAAGTTCGATTTTGTCCCTATTTACCCCATTTTACGGTATGCATGCGTGTGTGCGTCAAATACATGGTATGTAGTGTGTGTAATGTTTTCTTTATTGATTTAATGTATCTTTTATGCATTACTTTAAAAAAATATTAGCATTGTGCACTTCTTCTCTATATTCTCTATAAGTGTGGAAAATTTCATACTCCTCCGTCCGCGCAATTTTCGTAAAAAGGGATACAAAGTTTTTGCTTCACGTATTAATATATAGATGAACCTTAAATGAATAAACGCGTTATTATAAAAGCGTAAATAAAAACATTAACATGCATTTGAAACCTTTTATTAAGCAAAAAAAACCCTAGTGATGTCACAAATCGAAAGCCGTGCTGTAACTGAAAACATATCATTGTAAAAAAAAACCAACCCCGAACCATTAAAATATCCTGTCTGGGTTCAACAATCTCATAGACTATGGTAACAAAAATAAAGCTAAACGTAAAACGTCCGATTTCGGTAAATGATTAAAATAAGCATTACACTAAGCCGTAAAACTTTTTAATCATCTCCTGTCAATAATACTATCATGATACAAATTATCGCATGCTACCAATAGACGTCCGTCGAAAAAAAGACAGGATGTCATAGTTCAAGCAATCAACGGACCGGTTTTTAATGCATTTTAACTGAAAATTGCAATTAATTTAAATATTTTAAGCATAATGAAAAAATTAATTCTTCGTATCTCAAAGTCATTTTGTATAGCTTATCTTTTATGTGGTCTATTTTTTATTAAAAAAAATATATCAAAAAATTTTCTTTTATAACTAAACAGTGATTGATAAATAAAAAATACATGCGATAAAAATACAAAAAAAGCATGCGATAATACAAAAACCTAAAAAAAAATTTAATCATTCATCATAAGTTGTTTACATTCAAAGTTATTCTGCACATTCAATATATAGGTTTAACATAAAACTAAATAAACAGGACACAACAAATTACTCAAAAAAACAAAATATTTTAAAATTTAGGTATAAATACATACATGATTCTCCTAGAAGTAAACTTTATTTTTATAGTTTTATAGTGCATTAAAACAAAAACATGCAAACATTAATCGGTTCACGATGTTTAACTGAATATAACTTTACACAAAATAACTGAAATGTTATTATTAAAGTAATTGAATCACTAAAGTCGTTATTCCATTCCTAAAAAAAACTTTAATTTTATCTTTTAGGTTATATTTATTTTGGCGCGCTTGGGAAAACAAATTATGTAGTGTGTATTTAACATGTGAAGTGAATAACTTACATTATATTTTTATTACAGACTTGAGGCTATATTTATATAATTAGTGTTGAAGAGTAAATGTTTAATGAATAAAAACATAAATTTTGTTAATGTTGAGTAGGTAGGTGAATAATTCAATTACCGCAAATAAGTATAATTTTTAAGTGCGTATTTTTAACACGTTGAACGCCACATGAAAAATCGAGTAATTTCATTCAGGCCACGGTGTTCACCGGTGAGCCTTACCTTACTGAATCCTTCGGGCCACGAGGGTCACCCGTGAGCCGCGTGAGGATTCCAACGTAAACACTTCCTATTATAAACCACAGATTATAGCTATCAAACAAATCGCGTATGGAGGTGAGCCGCGTGGCCCTTTAGCCGAATCAAAAGCTTTAGTTTTCAAATCCAACAGAAATTTCTAATTATTATCAAGATTTAAAGACCTTTTAAAATATCTTAAAAATTAGACGGCAAAAGTCGCGAATTTTTATCTTCCGTGCAAATTATCGCATTTTTTTTATTTTAGAAAAGAATCTCAAGTTGATAAAAATTACCGATTCCCTAATTTTAGCTTGGCCCGAATGGCATAGTACGCTAGGTCCACCGGTGGGCCGCATGGCGTTCAACGTGTAAAGTAAGTCCACGTTCTTGTACCCGCTGACGATTTAGCTTACTTAGCATTGAAATCTCAATACTATTTACACAACTGTTGGATGTCTTAACCTTCAAACCAAAACACCTGGTTGTTTCGTGGCGAAATCAGGTAGAACAGTTTGGCTTCATAACGTGTGCTCTTGATATAATGTCTGCATGTTTTTGTTATTATATCATTTCAGATTGTACGAGTAATAATTGAAAATAATTTTAAATTGCATTACATTTTAACAAATCAACGAGACACTAGTAATAGTTTCTGAAATTAAACTCAAGAAATTTTCTATTCAGTAACATTCACATTAGTATAAAGAGTTGAGATCACAGCAATATTTAGCTAATAAATTCTTTATTTTTCGGCAACAGAAGCAAAGGGTTGAGGTTTTGCTATAGTCGATCTTATAAGAAGTAGACTGTTTTTAAGTCATTATTAATTCCTACGAATGTCGGCTTGAATTTGGAATACTTAATTTGAAATATCATGTTGGATATTTCACCTTAAATTTCCTCATTTGTTGGATGTAGTTTGCGTGTCGAAAAAAACAGTTAGCAAGTTAAAAGTGTTATACATCATGCAATGGAAATAGTAACATGCACTAGTACCGTTTTGTGAATAGCACAACTTCATTTTTTTTATATCATTAATACGACACAATGGAATCATGGTGAGTACTTATTTTGTTTAATATTTCGTAATGGCAACACCGTCATTCCCATGGCACTCCTCAGTCTTACAAAGTTTCAAATAAAAATCTTAATGTACTATTAAAAATGTATAAACACCCAAAAATAATGTCATGAAATTACGAACCCACTATCTTTTTATAAATTATTGTTGATTCTAATAATGTATGTTGCCATCACCGGCTTAATTTTATTATTCTATAACAGATAATTTTAATAGTTATAAAAATTAATGTCTGTATTTTATTTACCTTAAAAAATAGGTCAACGGTACCCAAGAACTATGGATTTGATAAAATTAACCAAAAACTATTTTAATTATTTGAATAAAATGAATAAAACAATTTAGGAGCTGGACGGGTTCTTTGTCTATTCAATTTACAATCCATTTTAATAACAGTATCATTTGAAGAAAAAGATTCAAAATTTAATGTTTGTATCTGTGCGATCAATCTGCAGCATGAACATAGAAAAATATGAAAACATTGCGTCTATACTTTGTGTAGTTATATCGATTAAATTAATCTCAAATTTGACTTTAAATTTAAAACAAAATTCTTAAAACATGCTTTTCATAACGAACTTCCAAGCTCCATGTAGTAAGTAAATCATAAATTTTGCAGATGCGACTTCATTCTTGGGGATCGTCGATATGATTTTCTTATATAATATATTCCACAAAGCAACCAAACGACAATAACAAACAATCACAGTACAGAAACAAAAATGTTAAATTAAGCTTGTGCATGCAGGTGGCGACATAAACACAAAAATGTTATTTATACTGTGTACATGTTTTCTTTATTATATATTTTTTTGTATTACTTAATTTTTATTTATTAAATTTCGCCAATTGATTGTGTGCTCTGCGAGTTTTGAAGTAGCAATATATTTTTTTTTTTCTTTTTCCTTAAATTATTAATTATTTAAAAAAAAACTATCACAGTCAAGAAATAAGTCTGTACAGTTAAATCTTGGTTTTCATTTAGGCGATTTTTTTTATGTCAAAGTACATAGTACAATCATTTTGTGTTTAGTCTAGATATTTATTTCGTGCAATTGTATCATTAAGAGAATCGCCGAGACGGGGTGAAGCTCCAATAGCTTGCAGGTGTCGCTTGTAGCGACGTGTCCAAGTACTGATACGGACACTGCGAATTTGAAACGTGAGTTGTATTACTCGTGGTAGAAGATTATATCTATACTAATATTATAAAGAGGAAAGATTTGTTTGTTTGTTTGTATTGAATAGGCTCCGAAACTACTGAACCGATTTGAATAATTCTTTCACTGTTTGGAAGCTACACTATTCCCGAGTGACATAGGCTATAAATCTTTTCTGAAAAAAATTAGGGATCCTTACTAAAACTCAAATAATATAACCCAAGGTGTAAAAAATTTACCTAAAATATTATTTACATCGCGTGATTTACGTCAAATATCGTTGAAATTTTTGTTAAAGAGCCGGGCGGAGCCGGAGCGAGCCGCTTGTATGTTATATAATGGCACAGCCCATGTGTTCCAATTTGAAACGTGAGTTGTATTACTCGTGGTAGAAGATTATATCTTATATAATGGCACAGCCCATGTGTTCCAATTTGAAGAATAGAACAATCATTTCAGTCATTTGGTTGGATATTATGTAAGGGAATAAATTTGAAAAATAGAACTATCGTTATATAATTGACTGATGTAGTATGGAATTGTTGGGGACTTCGGATTGTGAGGTCTTTACAGTCAGCTATCCACTTAACACCGACTTAACAAATAAGTGTGGATCGGGAACAAAGAATGTTTGTCATGATCGAGTTTCATGACTAATTTCGAATAAAATATATGCGGTATTGTAATGATAAAAGTCGATATTTAACAATTAAATCTAATACGACAACATGACTCAGTTATATTATATCTTTAATTTGTTATACTATCTTAAGAGATACGACGTCATCGACACAGGATACAAAAACATGTACCTACATTTTTTTTTTATTTTTATTGCATAGATGCGTGGACGAGCTCAAAACCCACCTGGTGTTAAACGGTTACCCGAGTCCATAGACATCTATAACGTAATGCCACGACCCACCTTGAGATATGAGTTCTAAGGTCTCAGTATAGTTACAACGGCTGCCCCACCCTTCAAACCGAAACGCATCACTGCTTCACGGCAGAAATAGGCAGGGTGGTGGTACCTACCCGTACGGACTCACAAGAGGTCAATATTCATTTATGTTAAATATATATTTATTAAATATATTCATTATACATACATATATTCATCCACATCGTCAAAAACAACTAACCCAATATAATTATACTGTTCTACTATCCCCATTGAGTATTAACATTGGCATTTGGGTTTGTATTGGACAAAAATATATATATTTAAAAAAAAAATTATTTATTTTTTAGTTTTCATAGTTACGTACGACTGACAACAAAGAGAAATAATGTGGTAAGAAGTATTTTTACGACTCACGAAAACCATAAAAATAATACTAAAATAAAACATGCAAAAACATGCAGTATACATTTATGAAGCAACATGCAATATATTTTTACTGGCATTCCCATACAAGGTACAAACAAAGTCACAGTCATAGGACGCCGATAGCGGCTTTCATAGCCAACGCAGCGTAAAATGTCACGAAATGATAAACAATACAAAATCGAAATATGTATACACAGTGGTGGTCGTATAATTAGAAATAATATCAACGGTCCTTGACATTATATGTAAGATATTTCACCGCAAACGTTTTTGTTTTGAAATTAAACAATAAACAGGACAACAATATGTTCCAACGATTTATTATATACTGGTTAATGACCGTTTTTTTTTTTTTTGATAATTATAAATATATAAATTGTTTCTGTATAAATTAAGTTTCAAATGACCAGTATTTAGAAACGGGAGCTTCGTAGGTAAAGGTTCCTAATATCAACTATTTGGTACGTTTGATGCGTTCGCTAATCGGAGACTTGTACTTTCATTAATTAAAAGCAGAATAACGGTACATAGAAATATATTCAGTTGTTCATAGTTTCGAATTGTCTTCCCGCCATATTTTTCATAGTTATTAAAAGCACTTACAAACATACGTTCCTTGAAGCCTTCCAGAACTTCACAGAAGAAGAAACTTCACAAAATGTTTAGATACTCACATGTGGCGCCCCCCTCGGGAACGGCGACAGACAGACAATGACCACGGTCATGTTGTCGCAGCCGAGGCCGCCCGTCGCGCAGTTCGGCGCTAAACATCGCTGCATTAACGCCTCGCAGACCGCGGCCGGCTCCCAGCCGCTCAGCAATCGAACTCGACAAAACGATATCACCTCCTGAACAAGATACGCGAGTGTCATGTGAATACATACACTTCTTTTTTTTTAAATACCACTATATATCTGACGTGGCAATTATGTATTGCCAGAGTAGAGTTTATAAATATCTTCAACTATTAATAATGTTATATCAAAATAGATTACATATTCTTCGGTTGTATAAAAATATTCATTTATTTATTTGAGCCTGCAATCAAATGAAATTAAATTAACAGAAAAAAGATAAGACGAGACGAAATAAAGACTTAGTAAAATAAATGGTGGATATTTACTGAGACTTCAGTACACTTTTTGGAAAACCCGAAAGACTGGTGGTATGACCTCTTGTGAGTCCGCACGGGTAGGTACCACCACTCTGCCTATTTCTCCGATGAAGCAGTAATGCGTTTCGGTTTGAAGGGTGGGGCAACCGCTGTAACTATACTTGAGACCTTAGAACTTATATCTCAAAGTGGGTGGCGCATTTACATTGTAATGTCTATGGGCTTCAGTAACCACTTAACACCAAGAGGGCTGTGAGCTCGTCCACCCAACTAAGCAATAAATAAAAAAAGACTAATACGGCAAGTGGTTTAGTTTCACGTTACGATTATTATGCACTTTCACAGATGCTTAACATTTAATAAACCATCGTTATAAGACTGTTAAAGCTCAAACAATACCAAATTACCAAAAAAAAAAAACAATTCACACAACTGCGCTTGTCGCGTTCCCGCCAAAATATCCCTACATCCCACCATATCAAGGAGTCATCACCGATTTATGTGAGGTGATACTAATATTTTAATCAGCTATATATTTGCATGTGTTCTGATCGTTATCAAAGCATAAAACCCAATCGAAAAAACAACAACATAATATTTTTTATTTAGCCGCAATGTATGTCAATATTAGAAAATCAATGTACGACAAAATCAAATTAGTCAAATTAAAGAGCTAAATCTAACAAACAACCTAATGTAACAATATATTTAGTGACTGACCTCATTAGTGAGAACTTCCCAGATACCGTCACAGGCTATGACGATAAACTCCCAGTCTTCGTTTACATGACGCACTTGCACGTCGGGATAAGCTGTAAAAGTTTAATATTGATTATTGTAAATTGAAAATTTTGTTTTTTAATATATGGACGATTCAGATCACAGTCCATCTTATGCTAAGCGACTATCAGGGTCTGTAGGTTTCACAACGGAATGTCGCCACACAGACTCGAAACAAGAGTTTTAAAAAAACAACTCTCTATAATGTCGCATGCCGGTCTACCATCCAGAACGGAACGTAAAATGCTTCGCAGCAGAAATGTTGGAAATGGGGCACCTAGCGATGGTATATTATGGATTATGAGAATTGGTACAGTTTGCATAAAACTGTCCAAATAGTACAGACAGCCAAACTTACCAGTAACAATCTGCTCTTGAGGAGATAATCTATAATTCCTCTTGAACACGTAGTCTCCCAAGGCTCGAGACAATGCGAGATTACCATTCACGCGATTCAACTGGACCCAACCACCACCAGCTATGATCCTACGTAGCTCCTCTTCGTTGTTGGGCTTGTGGTCATATGACAGTGTCTCCACCTGGGACCACAAGTGATAAGTTAAATAATATGAAATATTAAATTTAAAGGAATGAAAATCCACAAAACACACCCAGCACTACAGCTTAAAGAATGATCATTGTAACATTTTAATAGTCTCAGCATTTTTTTGGTTAGTTAAGATAAGGGATTTCATTTCATATTTTTTGTGTTATGACCTGGTAACAAAATCTTTAAACCAATTCAGGTCATTTTAAATTGACCATTGCAAAAAATGAAGGGTGCATATTTATAAAAATTTAATAAATAAAAAAAAAACTCTTTAAAGATGACAAAAGGTAAAAATAATACTTCTTTATTTTGTTTTACATGCGTAAAAGGTTGCTTGATCTTTTTGTAAGCCGATAATGCCAAGCCAAGGGCGAAATGTAAACAGTTTAACACAAATTTTAAAACTTTTATTATCTCTGGATGGTCAAATCGAAATTAAAAGCATTAGCATTCCTGTATATAAGTAACACTCATGATGAAGGGGTGATTTAGTTAAATATGTCGCAAATTTAAATGGGGCAGCCAATATAAAAACAAATCTTTTAACATATTCAATAATTAATTCTTAACCTATTTAATGGTATGTTTAAATTTTTGTTTTATTGCTTATATAGGTGGACGAGCTCACAGCCTACCTGGTGTTAAGTGGTTACTGGTACCCATAGACAACTACGACTTAAATGCGCCATCTTGACATATAAGTTCCAAGGTCTTAAGTATAGTTACAACAGCTGCCCCACCTTTCAAACCGAAACGCGTAACTGCTTCACGGCAGAAATAGGTAGGGTGGTGGTACCTACCCGCGCGGACCCACAAGTGGTCCTACCACCAGTAAAAAAACATGCATATAACCATAAGAGTTCCTCACCACACCCCTGACACTAGCCACGGCTCTGGAGTCGCCTACATTAGCGCAGTACAATGTGTTGTCCTTGATAAGCACCACCACTGCTGTACTGCCTGCAACCTTTTCTTGCAACATATCTTCTTCAAGCATAGCTCGATCTAGGTCTAGAAAACCCTGTAGACAAAACAATTTTCAAATGAACTTCTTCGATTTAAGTCGTCTTGCTCTAAAAGATAAGACGCCTATTGCATTTATGCCAAGCGATGCAACAGAGTTCGAATCCCGCGGGCAGGTACCAATTTTTGTAATGAAATACGTACTTAACAAACGTTGCCGATTGACTTCCACGGTACAGGAATAACCTCGTGTAATAAAAATCAAACCCTCAAAATTATAATTTGCGTAATTACTGGTAGTAGGACGTCTTATGAGTCTGGACGGATAGGACTACCATTCTCCTTATTTCTGCTCTGAACCAGTAATGCGTTTCAGTTTAATGGGTGGGGCAGCTGTTGTACTATGGGCTCACTTAAACACCAGGTGGGCTGTGAGCTCTCCCACCTATCTAAGCAATAAAAAACTGGGTTATCTGATTAAATAAATGTGAGTAACGACACGCCTTCTTGTTTTCTGATAAAAACTGAACTTTTCTGTGAATCTTAGCTAAAACTTGATATGAAATTATGTAATTTTATTAGTTTATACGATATGTTATGACTTTATCATGCAATTTTGCGGTTATAGTGTAATTAAATGAAATACAATCAACTAACATCCACAAAAGGTTTTCCAGTACACAAAATTGGCCACCCACTTACTAGACTACAACACATTGATCCATGTAATTGGGCAGTACAAAATAGACATTTGATATCATTTTGATTGTGATATCTATCTAATAGGCTTTGCAACAACTTATCACCAGTGAGTACATTTTCATTATAAGTGAATAAAAATTATCAACAATTATCAACCACAACTTAATTCATTTGTAATTAATTTGTTTACCTGTTTCAATGCCTCTTCAATGTTACCAAGGTGGTACTCGGGTCGTGCTGTTATATACTTATGTAAATGTTTCCCAGCATGTTCTGCTATGTTTGAACCTTAACCAACAATATTGATAATATTAATTTTTTTGTTAAAATTTTAGTGTACCAGTTTTTAAACGTCTATCTATTGATGAGATCTAATGATCACTTAGGATTTTTTATTTTAGTTTTGAATAGACAGTTCACCAGGGTTAAGTGGTTACCAAGACCCAAAGATTCACAATGTGACTGTTGCTTGTGTGACGTTGTGACCTACCCATGCAGTAAGGTATTTTTATACTCATGCTCACAAAACTCCACTACAAAATAATTTATGCAGGTCTGATGTTTATTACACATGTTGTTCATTCACCATTAAAGTTATTTGTGAACATATTAAGTAAACATTTGAACAGAAAAATTTTCACCTGCCTAAAATACCTCTGGATAATTATTGAAAAATCTATTCCTTTCAAAGCCTTTTAGAAACTATTTTAAATACCTCCATGACCATCGTAGACTGCAAAAAATGCAGTGCCCGGATCATCAGGTAGTGACAGTATATGTGTGTGTGAGTCATCCATGGACACTCGCCAGCCTTGCATGCATGATGATCCGACCAAGAACCGTGAATCTTGACATGTTGCTGACTGCTTCTCTGTCACAGGCTCAGAAAGGGTTTGCCCCATAACTCTGAAAAATAAAGGTTTCTTTTTATTTACTATATTGAAGCAAAACTTATTTAATTTAGATATTCCACTGAGAATAAAAAAAAATTACAAGAATACATGAAAAACTTAATAGATTGTTTTTACAATTTAAACTTTATTGGTTCAACAACATTATGTGGAATGTAAAGATCCTTCTGTTATATGGTATTTGCCATTGTATTCTCATATTAATGTTAATTGTACAAATGACAATTAAAACCTTTGTTTGTGCCATATTTAACCCAATATTTTTTTATTAATATATCTATATGCTTAGACGTTTTTAATTTGAATTTAAGTAAATAGTCAAAAAAAATTTCAACATCTCAATTACATTAACTGCTAAATAGGAAAAGTATTTCAACAGCTCGAAAACATTATCTAGGGTGGACCCGTAATCCATTTTCATTTACCAGATTAAATGATAAGATAATAGAAAATGTTTGCTACTCTAAAGTATCGAAGTTTAAAATGTAAACAGTGTAAAGTTTTGTGTTATAAAAGTGTACGCGGAGAGATGCTAAATGCTCAGAATCATCAATGATCAAGATCTTTCGTGACTAACACCTGATGTCATGCACTCAAAAAGTAACAAAAAATCTATGTTTTTACTTTTTCTAAATATTAGAGTTTTTGTTGAAATACTAAGGAGAATCTTTAAAAAGCTATTCCTAATGAACTTACAGGTAATAGTTTCCGTGCAAATTAGTGTTATGTATTAATAGTATTGCAACATAAACATGATAATACTACTTCAATTTCGTAAGTTTAGAATGACTTTTTCGTTATTACTTGTTACTCACATTTATTTTCAAATGCACTTTTATGATCACCGGTTCTGATACCTCTGTTGATAGCTTATTTTACAGTTTATTTTTAATAATTCCTCCCTAATGCGTAGGTAAATAATGAAATGTACGGTAGGTACCTACCTCTACTCAATGAATATTTCAAAATGTCAAGTAAAATGTGACATTTGGTTTTTTTTAAGGGATTTTATGACCTGGTAACTAAGATCTTTAAGTCATGTCTTATTTTATTGTAGATTCATATTTTTATGAAAAATTATATTATGGAGTGAAATGCAATGAAGATGATTAATTTGAGACATTAATCAACTGGGATGAAATTAAATGAAATGAAATGGGATGAAATTTAATCTCAGTAAAATGGTGGTCATTTACTAAGATTTTTTCAGTGGACTTTTTGGAGGATCCCGAGAAGTTACGTCCAGCGGCTTTGTTTCATTTTCCCACATTTGTGCACTTTCACAGATGTTAAACAGTTAATAAACCACCATTATTACACATTTAAATCCGAAGAAACACCAAATAGACAAAATAAAACAAATCACACAACTTCACTTTCAGTTCAGTTCAAGTGAATATACGTACTTATTACAAGCGTCTACCATTTAGCTTATTTGTGCTTTTTTACAGCTCGAAAAAATGTCTCAGTTTTGCTTTATTTGCAATAAACTTTTAACTGAAGATAAAACAGTCGTGGTTGATCGTGGAATGCCAACTTTAATCGAGGCTAGTATCGCGAGAGGTGATGAGCTTACTGAGTATTTAAGAACTCAAAAATCTGTTACGTGGATTGCAGAAAATCATATACCCGGAAAACTTCAATCACTCCAATAAAAAGAAAACCTGAAGAGGAACAGGCTAGTACTTCAAAAATAATTCCATGATGAATGTCCAGATGTCCTGATAATTGAAACAGCAATAGAAAAATTTAATGCAACAAACACAACAATTGTAGTTGAAGATGTTGATTTGTTAGTACTACTTACTGCAAGAACTCCAATGGATAACATTATTTATTTCCTGAAACCTGGAAGGGCTCAACAGCAAACAGTAATATATTTTTCAAAAAGTTTATCTGCTTATTCTAAATGCCAAAACTATATTTTATTTTTACATGCGATAATCGACTGCGACACTTCATCTACAATGTACAGAAGAGGCAAAGCGGCAGTATTTAAATTATTCGAAAAAAACAATAATTACGGAAGGAATTCGCTTTCTTCTTGCGGGTTAAGGAGCTCCAAAAAAAATTACTTGCATTGATAAATTTCGTTACTTAACTCTGGAACCGATTCAAACTTTACTCCCACCTGCTCTAGAAAAACTCCTCACACTATTTTTTGCAACTGCAAAAAAGGTTGTAGTGCCCAATGTGGCTGTAAAAAAGTCGAATTGCTGTATTTCCCAGCGTGTACCAATTGCCAAGGTCAGTCTTGCTCAAATGTCCAGTTGAGTACAATAGAGGAAGAATCCTGTGATTTTAATGAAGAGACCAATGATTCAGCCACATTTGAACAATTTATGAACATCCAGCAAGAGGAAGAGGAAGAATAAAAAATCGAAGAAGACATTACTGTTGAAGTAGACTTTCAAGAGTATGAATCTGATTAAAATATCTAAAGAAATCAAAACAATAGTTAACCGAATAACCAATAGCAATATCAATAATCAATAGCAATAATAAGGTAATATCTAGAACTTGACGAGTATTGTTCCCTCTTAAAATTGTCATGACAGTTAGTGGAGTAGGCCTACAGGAGAAACCACGGTAAAAAAAGAACGCGCCGAGTACACTACCTCACAGGTGGCGTGGAAATGTGTGCATATCATGTATAATGTGACTCTTAGAATCGCGATATCTCAGGAATGGTAACTCTTAAGAAAAAAATCATAAAAACTATTTTTGTAGAGAATTTGAAGATCTACAACTTTGCTTTGAAGTTTTATTTTGATAAAAACCGTTTTCGAGAAAAATACAAAAAACCTCAAATTTTCACCTTTGACCTCGAATAACTTTTCTAGCACACATGGGATCGATGGGGATTTTTAAACGTTTATTTGTAATGATAAACCCTAGCTCTCCATCAATATTTGGCTCTCCGGCAATTTTTGTTATTTCAAATGTCTATATTGACCGGGCTATAGGGAGTCCAACACTCATATAAATATTAGCTTAAGCCATTAAGTACATGAATTTTCTCCATGGATATCAAGTTTCAAGTCAATCGAATGCATGGTTCAGTAGTTATAACGGAACATCCGTAAAAACTGCTGTAGATTTATACATTAGTATAGATTTAGAAAATACGATGAATATGAATAGAGATATATGTATAAATAAGCTTTGTTTTATTACCTAAACATCCTCGATGCTGAATACATAGTCATTCTCGTGATATTTAATACTAAGCTGGAAAATAGTGCTTGATTAAGTTTGATTTCCCCACAGTAATAATTAACTTAGAAAAATTATTTTGGTTGCGAAAAAACACTTGTTACACAATTTTAATATCACAAAAAAAAACATACAATAACAAATAAATTTTGACACGCTAAATGCGTCAGTCAATCAACTAATAGAGAAAAGGTTATAGATTGAAATCTATTAAAAAGAATGTAAACACTCGGTGATCACATTCTGTATTGAGTTTATGTTTTGTATGAAGTTCAATAAAACCAACAACTTCTATCAATTCATAAGCTTCCGCCTATCCGAGACGCAATAGCTCTTTGAAAATTTGGAACAATCCGGTCATAAGGTTGTTACACCACTACAATCACAAAATGGGCCCGCTTTCTATGCTTTAAGACCTTCATATAATGTAGTGATTACTTGCTCAGTGGTCCTTCCAAGCTCTTGTCCAATCACCGTTCAAGTCGAACTCGTCGACAAGTTTGATGTGCTAGTTAACCCATAGACAAAATACCTATACCGAGTTTGTCGCCGGATCTTCTCAGTGGGCTACGATTCCGACCCCTTAGGATATCTAACGAAGCACTGCTCCTCTTGCCCACAAACGATAGTGAAGCCAGAATAGCCCCTTTATTCTACTGGCAGACAATTGGGCAAAAAAAGTAAAATGGGTACTCTGGGTTATCTTGTCAACTTTCTTTTCCTACCTATGCTGATAGCCTTGAGATGCTATATCAGCGTTATCCTAGCGTGTAGGTGAGCTCTCGGGGCTCTAACCTGGCAGCATTGCTAACTCTGGCCCTAGCAAGAAGAGTGCTTCGCAGAATCTACAACCAGATCGGAAACGCAACCCACTGAAAAAATCCGGCGACAGAATCAGTGGGCTGTCTGTATTAACCTACACCTAACCTACTGTATTAACCTACCGAGCCCTTCGTCGCAAGCGACGGGTTCGGCGAGGACGATGACCGGTGCTTGAGGTACCTAAAAGCACCGGTAATGGGTCGGGACGATCCGTGATGACGTGTGAATGTAACCCTCAATTGAACGAAATTATAAAACTAAACTATATAGTTGAAAGGAAACGAAGTTTAAAAAATATATTCTAATGGCTAATATAAAATATTGAGATTCAGTGAATCTCAATTAGATGAGTTTTGCGCAGGAAAACTTTTGAAAGAAAAAAAAATCAATGTTCATTTAAAATCATTTGCTAGAATTTCGGCCAGTTAAAAGTGAGAAAACAACTGTGTCATAATTTTCTAATTTATCGAACCAATCTCCATGAAGACCATCCATCCATGAAGATTTAAAGAATGCGGAAGTTAGGATTTATTCACACAGAGACTACGTAATTATAACGGGGCAGATTAATTTAATTTTGTTTCGAATAATATATTACCGATCTAGGTTCAAACTTCCTGCGTGTGTTATCAATACCATTTTTACTTAAAGCTTAGGGCATTACCCAGTTTATTTGGTTCTTTGTATTGACTAACTACGGGAAAAAATTATAGTCGATAAGGGTCGTTTTCTTTTGTCATAATTAAAATTAAGTTTCTCTCGTGGATACATTGCCAGTGGATTTATAATCGAATATAGCCGAAAGCTCAGTAGGGTATAAATGTAACAGTGTAATGATGAGGTTTCACTCATTTTCGTATTTGCCTGAATGAATTACGACTGTATTAATATGATATTTAGATAAACGCATAGCGCAATGTGTAAGTCTACCTACAGCTCTTAAATATTAAGCGTATTATCTATGCTTATTGGCAACATTCTCGCTCGACCTACATTGTTATGGTCTGTGGTAGACAGAAAGCCCGCCAGAACTGAAACATGCAAAATTGCACTCATATTACAATTTTAATTTCGTATAATAGAATATTTCATTATATTAAATATAACTTCCATAATAATTGTTCTGTATATAAAAGTCAACAAGAAAGTGATACGTCGATACTCCGAAACGAGTTTAAGCGCCTCACTTTCCGGCTCACGCAGGTGCTCACTGGGCATGGTTGCTTCGGTGAGTTCCTGCACCGGATCGGAGCCGAGCCGACGGCAGAGTGCCACGATTGTGGTTGCGACTTGGACACGGTCCACTGAGAAGATCCGGCGAAAAACTCAGTGGGCTGTGGCTGTGTCTGTGGATTAATTTACTTGCCGAGCCCTTCGTCGCAAGCGATGGGTTCGACGAGAACGATGACCGGTGCTTGAGATACCTAAAAGCACCGTTAGTGGATCGGGAATCGGGAGGATCCGAAATAACGTGTTTTGGGCCTATTTCTCAATAATAGGAATAGAAATGCAAAGTATTGATTTCGAAATAATTGCATATTTATTTATTAAGTTTTAGTTATGGTTAATATTATGTCTAGTGTATTTATTGTATTATTTATTTACTGGTGATGGTAGGACCTCTTGTGAGTCCGCACGGGTAGGTACCATCACCCCGCCTATTTCTGCCGTGAAGCAGTAATGCGTTTCGGTTTGAAGGGTGGGGCAGCCGTTGTTACTATACTGAGATCTTAGAACTTATATCTCAAGATGGGTGGCACATTTACGTTGTAGATGTCTATGGGTTCCAGTAACCACTTAACATAAGGTGGGCTGTGAGCTCGTCCACCCAACCAGCAATAAAAAATAAAATAAAACACGTGTGGCACTTGAGGACTACCGCGGTAAAGCTATTGCAAAGCATTTTTTATCAACTTATGCAATTACAATTAGATAATAATAATTTAATATTAAAACAATAATAAAAATAAGACCACGCTATATTTAAAAACATTAACAAAAGCAAAACATTAACTGTCCCCTTCACACTCATAAGCTAGACCGCGTGAGAGAGAGATGGGCAAACTTTTCATGATGCTCATGCAGTGCGGCGTCACGCGGCGCGCTTATTCACAAACACTACACCAGCGCAACGTGTGAATGTGTTGAACACTAGTTACATAGTAGGCGTAGTGGGGTGTCAGGTTATTTTCGTTACGGAATTTCTTGATTCAGTCGCCGTCCTCAAAGTCCGCGATAAAAGCTATGCAATATCTTAAAAATCTTAAAATTTTCATTTACATTCCAGATATTGTTAATTAGTATAGCAATAATGTGTAGACGGAACCTATCTCGGTGAATAAACTCTATTTTTAATTTTCGCGGTTTTCACTTGTCTCGATTTCATTGGTTAGTTGGCGTCGTCAAACACCCACACAGAGGTTTGTAAAAAATATGTCTCCTATCGCACTGTTACTATATACTCATACTTAAGTATATATCGATCTAAAGTACATGCTCGCACTTTAAGAGCATTTTTAAACCAATCAATTTGAGCTTGTGTTTGTTCTGAGATAGTTAGTGGATGGGGAATTTAGCAACTAAAAAGTTTTAAATTTTGGCGTATTCTGTATTTATTCTTAAATATTTTCTAACAGCTTTCACAGAATTTGGAAGTTCAATTATTCGACTTAAGCAAATTACAAGCTTTGTCGTGATTTTCTAATGAGAGCCTTTTTGTTTTATAAGAGCATGAGATTTTTTTTATCACTCGGTACACTTTTAAACTTCTACAAGTCTAGCTTCTCATTCGTTAAAACAAATTTTGTATATGTAGAATGTATTTACGTTCTTATCAGTTAAAATATGACGCAAATAAGAATCAACTTTTTGTTCCATTATTACGAAAGATGACGAAATTGAGGTCTACGTATAATCATTAATAAATAAATTTACCATTCTAATTACGCGCGTCTAATTTAATTACTGTTATTCGGTACGTACGGTATTGGACTTCGTTTGACTTTATTTATTCATTCGGTAATATGACAGGTTCGTGAAGTCAGGAAAAAAACAGAATATGATTATTTCCAATTGCGAATACAGATACACTAAAAACTTATGCTGAAACTAGCTTTTGCCCGCGACTCCGTCCGCGTGGAATAGTTCACAAATAATGCTTTATTTTAGAACAAATTTGATTAGCATACGTTATAGTGAGCCAACCTTAACATATAGACATGCTGTAGCGGACTTATTTTAGATCTTTTAAAGGGGAACAATTCTGTCATAAATTATTTTAGCGAAACTTTAACCGTTTCTGAAGCGCACGCAGCGGAAGCTCTCAAAAGGTAAAAATAACCCGGATTTTGAAACATTCTTTATTGGTGCTCCGCTTATATTGGTTTTAGCGTGATGTTATATAGCCTATAGCCTTCCTCGATAAATGGGCTATCTAACACTGAAAGAATGTTCAAATCGGACCAGAAGTTTCTGAGTTTAACGCGTTCAAACAAACAAACTCTTCAGCTTTATAATATAGATTACAATTGCTGTCTAAGCTCACGTGCTGTACCACACTTGAAAATACGAAATTACCAGTGACGTTGTTCTGGGTTTTGACGAACTGGACGGGTACGTGCACAGGAACACGCCGTACTTAGGGACCACGGTCGGCCGCTGTGCCAACGGGATCGGCGGTGCGGAATTCATCATCGACGGCACGACTTATCAACTCGCTAACGACATTAGGAAAGATCATTTACATGGCGGGATTAACGGACTTAATAAGGTGATTTGAAACTGTTATCCCCTGTAATATCATAAAGGCAGCTTTAGAGTTTCTCGTCAAATCTTCTCAATAGGTCACGAATCCGATGCGGGGGCAGATTCAGCGAAGCACTGCCCTTTTTAAGGCAAATGTTAGCAAATACTTTCAGGCTGAACCCCGTAATGTATGCAAAACAAAACGAGCGATGTAGGTAAGAAGAAAAAAAAAAGCAATACAATCTTTGGTACATACTACTTCAAATTTTCTTTAATAATTAACTGACTGGTGAACTTACTCGACGTGTTATCAGGCTCATACCGCAACGTTAATCATGCTGCAGTCCACCTTCAGACATGAGGTTAAGGTACCCTTTACATTGTAATAACGGCTGTTCTGCCTTTCAAACCGGAATGCGTCATTGTTACACCACGATTACACTAAGAATGTTAGCTCCAATATTTACCGGCTCACATCACTTCTTACCACAAGAACTGCTATGAAATTCAACGATGTTCGTCAGGATGTTTTTTTATGAATATGTGCATGATGTTTCAATTAGTAATAGATTGTAATTAAATTAAGAGAGTTCAAATTTTTATTTTGCTGCTAATGCGTCCCGTCTGAATGTTATTAGTGACTTTGCCTTTTTTTCTTTCCTAGCTATTCCAGTGTAACCGAGCGAGTAGGTGAGCTCTCGGGGCTCTAACCTGGGGGCATTGCTAAGACTAGCCCTAGCAAGAGCAGTGCTTCGCAGAATCCACCACCGGATCGGAATCGCGATCCACTGAGAAGATCCGGCGAGAAACTCAGTGGGTTGTGTCTATGGGTTGGTTTACTCTCCGAACCCTTTGTGGTAAGCGACGGGTTTGACGAGAACGCTAACCAAGTCTTTGTCAATGAAGCACAGTCGAAACACTCCCTCCATAATAATAATAATAAGAGGTGACCGACATGTGGAGGATGGTATCTACAGAAATAATCCCGATAGTTGTATCGGTGAATTGTTTGGTCCCTAAAAGCCTCTCAAAACATCTCGAGAGGCTTGGTCTCAACAAAAAGTCGGTGGTGGCCCAAATGCAAAAAGCAGTCTTGCTCGACAATAGTTCGCCGGTTTCTCTCCCAATAGTCCCTAACGCTCCGGCCGATTGTTGTCCACCTGTTGCCGGAGTGTGTCCTGCCGTCTTCTCAGGCGAGGCAGTGTTTAATACAAATAATAATAGGTAATAATAATGGACCCACGTCTTATTGCAAGCTCTTTTTTTTTCCTACCTATGATGATAGCCTTGAGAGGCTATTTCAGCTTCACCCTAACGTGTGTAGGTGAGCTCACTCTTTGCGTGAGAGCTCCTTTCAAAGCGCATAAATAGAAAGAAACTTTTTAAATAAACTCATTCGGTTTTCTCGTTCTAAATTCAACCATATTCCTTCGAGTTAAAGTAGAAGTTATGAATTTTATATAATCTTTGATAACTTATTTGCTTAAAACGATGTGTGCTCTCTCACTCTTTTAACTATTGAATCGAGATCCAATGAGTTATTTTCTTTCATTCACTCACTGTCCGACGGCCACGCGGTGCACGTATCTGTGTCAAGTCTTGTCGCTACATTTAATCAATAATTATAATTAGTGAACTAAAAATAAAGTCAAAACAAATAGTGCATTGAAATGGCGTGTCCTATGAGGTGAGCGCTTTGTTGCTGATTGTTAAACTTTTTATTAAAATATGTATTTTATTTATTTATTGCTTAAATGGGTGGACGAGCTCACAGCCCACCTGGTGTTAAGTGGTTACTGGAGCCCATTGACATCTACAACGTAAATGCGCCACCCACCTTAAAATAAGTTCTAAGGTCTCAGTATAAGTTCAAAGTAGGATAGTGTTTTCAAAGTAGGAAAACAGTGAGTTTTCTATTTTAAATAAAGAAAAGCTTACAACCCGCCTGATATTAAGCGGTTACTGGTTGATAGAACAATATGAGTGTGCCTAGCCCACATTGAGACAAGTAGAAAATGGATCTTGTATTTCAAACCTTCCTGATGAAATCGGAAAGGCCCTCGGGCCACAAGTAAACCTTCCGTCTTCAAATAATAAAAAAGTCAAAGCAACCATTATTATAAGGTTTTAATTAATTAAGATATAAATAAACATATTAATACTTTATGAATCGTAGCATTTACTATGTTTTTTATTTTATATTTAAAAATTCTAACTTTATGACTAGTTTATTTAGCACGAAAACGCGATTCAATGTTTATTTTATCTTTACGACTTGGGTTAATTAAATTAAATTGCAAATGTAGTCGGTTCATCGTATCGAAATTTGTCGGATTGTTTTCGGCCCCAATTTTAATTTTTTTATCACGCAATTCTACTTATATATGATACACTTCGGAAAATTCTTGCGTGTTGCAGTTTCAACGTAACTTACTTCAAATCTTACATCATCGTCCTGAATGCCATATAAGACGGAAATAGCTATTTTCTAAATAATAAAAAAAGACCTTTGAGTTATTTATTGATTACCTACCTATTTACTTCGGTTTTTAAGATTATATTCTATTTTTTCAAACAAGCGATGATACCAACGTAATTGACTCCGTACAGCCTATGAATATCTGTAAAAAAAAATGATAAAGTCTTAATAAATAATTTAGATAAGACTATTTTTTCAGAAAACAATATATTTTGTACCTTTTTATATACCTTACATATTATATATCATTATAGACGCCTTAGATTTACGTAAAGATATTTATTAAGATTTACTAAGACAACAGAAGAAAAAACCTGTAAAAAATAGAATAGAATAAAAGGGAATGAACTGAACCAAATGTATTAATGTGTATTCAGCTTATAAAGAAATTGCAAATTTACTTATTTAAAAACTCCGTCGTCACATTGCCCCAAAATTTCGGTAACAACAACGTGTTTTATTTACCTAAAAATATTGAAAGAGGAATTAAATTTAATAAAGATGTTTCCCACGGGCTTACCCTATTTTCATACCGTATTCCGTCAAAATCGGTTCGGTGGTCTCGCCGTGAAAGTGTAACAATCGCTAATTTTTAATCCCTTTTTTTTTTGCTACTTTTCATTCTAATGAATTCTATATGTTGCTCCAAATAAACCTCTGTCTAAGTTTGATTACTATTGTATGTGAAAGCCCATACAATATTTTTGGAGTTACGCGCGAAAAAACAAACCGACAGATCAACAATATAAATTAATATACATGGTTGCTGGTTTATGTTCTATTACCCTTTTTAGCTATCCCCTTTCTGTTTTATAACCTTTCTTTAATATATAAACACGTCAGATTCTGTAGTTTTGTCGTATTCATTGATTGTAAATTTAAATCAATTCAATCAATAATTTATTCAATAAAATATTGAATAAATTATTGATTGATTGATTGATTTGATGTGATTTGATCCACTATCGAACCGATTTGAGACTGATAACATTATTGAATTCTGACTAGACCCTATCCGGAATTGTACCTTTAACTATACGAATACCGCTTGAATCTTTTTCTTATTCTAATACATATAACAAGGCGTAGCTGCAATATTATTACATTCCGTTTACAATCTGTAAAGGGTTTCGATTTTTAAACATCGAATTCGTAAGTCAATTATTAATGAGTTGTATAATTTTGAAGTCATATGACGTAGTGATAAGATGAGGTAAGATTATGGAGGTGAAAGGAAGATAGGGAAGCGGTTAGTAGTAGCTAGATATTATAGAAGTCATTGACCTGTGTGTTCCGATTGATTGCAGGATAGACTATCGCTTGACCTCTGAACTTCTATGACTAAATGAAGTATGTTAGCAATAGAATACCTACTAAGTTTTATAAATGTTTATATAAGTATATAATTGTAGTCTTCTGTGCTTCTGCTCCCCTCCTAAGCGGCTGGATCGATTTTCAAGAGATTTCTTGTGTGTTTAAATAGATTCAAAAATGATTTAGATTCATAATTTGGTCAACTACAAAATGTTTTTTTTTTAAATAGTATATAAGTGTTTAAAATTTTAGGATTTAAGACGTGTATACAGCACAACGTCTGTCGAGTTCGCTAGTAGTAAAAATTGGTTCAAAAGCTACAAAAATAAGGTTGAAAAACAAGCCAAACTAAATATAAGATTTTTTTTTTATAATGATATTTTTTCACCTTAGTGATTACGACTCTTTTCATAGGTATACAAATTTTCCCGATAATCGGATGTTAGTAGTAATAGTGCATATTATAACCCTTATCGGATATGTCTATTTCTGCCGCGAAGTAATTATATTAACTGAGATTTCGATCTCAGATGTCAAGGCGAACGGTGGCATTTACCTTATGGTATCTTTAGGCTCCGCAACCACTTAGCATCAGATGGGACATGAGCTCGTTCAACCATTAATGTGATAGAAAATTAGATTGAAGGTTTCCGCTACACAAACAGATACAGGTCAAACTAATAAAAATATGTTAAATAGATGTAGTTTTTTAATTTATTCTCTAGAGCTTTGAAGTCGTAAAATAGAGTGTATAGTGTACCTACTTACACAGCTTCAGACGCTGTTGACGAACAGGTAATTCAGGTTCATTATGTTTAAAAAAAATACAGTCAAAGGCATGACAGTTGAACGACCTGTGTGGTAACAAACACTCAATGTAGTTGTGACTTTATATTATTACTATATACTATACCAGGGGTGGCCAACTTGATTAGAACCATGATCTTCTGACGAAACACTCTGCGACCTACCAACGACCTTTCATGAAATTTAATGAAACAATGTAGTTCAGTATACAAATAATTAGCATATAGTCTTCTATTAAAAAGATTAAAATAAACCTGAAATTATATATTAGAAGAGAATTATTGTGTAGAAGAGAGGATGAATGATGTGACGTAACGGTCATTAACAAATGATACAAGATGAAGATGATGCGCGTAGTTGTTGGTGATTACGTTGCGCAGTCTGTTCTATGTATTTATATTTTTTGTCTTGCCACAATCTACCGGTCGATCGCGATCTACCGGTTAGCCAACCCTGTACTATACTATCCATGCTTACACTTCGACCTTATGTCTAGACGTCTCAGGAAACTATTATACTTAGACCGATCGGGAGCTGTCCGCTGGTCTGTTCAAATAAAGCAACAGAAATTTACGGATGAAAATTTAAAACAAAGAAAAATTCTTTGGTTTTCTCTATCTTTGCCAAAACAATTTTAATGACACCAAACGACCGTGCATTTCATATTTTTAAGCAAATATTACAAACACGTCCAATAAATTAAGCAAAAATACAGAAAAACGAATAAAATGTCATATTTTCTTATTATTTTAGTGTGAATGTTTATGATAAAAAAAAATACAACATAAAACGGACTGAGTAAAAGAAACACCAAAATTCCCTCCCCATAGCATATTTCAATGATTATGCTACTAGTGATATAACACAAAGAGGGTTATCGTCAGACAGGCGACCGGTCGTGAAACTAATGCCTAGTCCTTATGCAGTATCATATAAGGACTTGCTGAGTTGCTGCGCCAAACCCACATATGTGAAATAAGGACAAGAAGTAGAAGAATATAATATAGTTAAAATACAATAAAGTACGTTCATTTGCGTCTAATGAGCGGTGTCTCTATTAGTCTCCAATCATCAAGGCTCGATGATGAACGGTCTCACGTTGCCCATATACAGCAGGTTTCCCCAATCTACATCACGACTTCGGTCCAACTTGTGTGAGGCAATCCAATGCTGGGTTGTCAGTTCGCGGTCGCCTCATTAATTTTTTGCCCTCCGCAGCCTTTACTTTACTTTCGAATGAATGTTTTTAAACTTATCGGCGTAAGGATAGTAAACTTCCCTAAGCTGCCAAAAGTAACTATACCGAGTTTCAAGTTAATCGGTTAGGCGATGTTCGAAAGTATAGATCACGAGTAAGCCTTAAAATTTTTATGAATCACATTTAGAGCTAGACGAACAACCATAATAAAAAAAAACCTGAAAATTCCTTGAATTGATTAGGTAAATTGATGTTTTAAATAGTTTTTGACGTTTATTGCTAGTTTACATTTAGTAAAGAAAATGTTTATTTTAAGATGATCTATGATTTTTGTTATATGTTAAAAGTATATCTATTTTAAGACAAAATTTACCAATACCATCCGTAGGGTACACCATGTTTTGAATTAGGTACGGAGTTACATATTTAGGCTCTACAGGAATATGCTGCTTATGGGAATATGATTACGTCAAGGCTAATCAATATTATGTCAACTAACATTTAGCCGCCAATTTTATCGTATAGCTGGGACTAGTCAGCGAAAAATGGAAGGAGCAGAGCTCAAATCAAAAGCGAGGAGAATGTCCGGATCTCGATTGAGAAATCGTAGGTTTATTTCTGTACCAGCCATTTTCGGCTTTACTGAGTGTTATTATTAGGTAGATACGTTTAGGAAATGTGCTGTCATCTGTCGTCGTTGCGGATTGAACTCAAACTGCAGCATAGGAAGCACTTATTTATTCCAAACGCACCTTAAAATCGGATACATTGATAATCAACTGGTTTTTATATATTTGAATCTTTTGAAACGTAGAACGCAATTTTTATCGGTAGGCAGCGGCTTGGCTCTGCCCCTGGCATTGCTGAAGTCCATGGGCGACGGTAACCACTCAACATCACGTGGGCCGTATGCTCGTCTGCCTACAAGGGCAATAAAAAAAAAACATGATGTTTATCTCTCAATCTGACAGCCTGTCTTTTTTCTTAGGGAAGTCTCCCGTTGCTAGTGCTGTGTGTGAAAAACCATTCAACCAACCATAAATAATCATGGTTTCGAGGGATATCACCATCTGATTCTGTCTTAGAATGCAGCGAACTCTCTCCCTCTAGTTAAAATATGGTGAATCTCTCGCGAATAGGAGGGATTGACTTTGGTGTCTGTGAGGTTCGATAACCATTTGACAACCAGGTCAAGCCTGAGCTCACCACTCAAACTTCTTTTTTTATATATACTAGCTGACCCGGCAGACTTCGTAGTGCCTCAATCGATAAATAAAAGACCTAAACTTTTGTATAAAATAAACTTAAAACAAACAAAAGGAATCCGTCCGACGGGGGACACATCAAAGGGAAAACAAAATTGTTATTTTTATTTAATTCCGAACATTTTCATTCATTAATCAACCTTTTAAACCTTCTCTGGACTTCCACAAATAATTCAAGACCGAAATTAGGTAAATCGGTCCAGCTGTTCTCCAGTTTTAGCGAGACTAACGAACAGCAATTCATTCAATTTAACGGCGGTCTGGTGTAGTGGTAAGTGACATGGTCACTACACAAGGGGGTTGCGGGTTCGAATCCCGCCAAGGGAAGATATTTGTTTGATAAATATAAATGTATTTTCCAGGGTTATGGATATATATGTATGTGTATAATAAAAATCTTACATTTATTTCCGTTATCTGGTACCTTTAACACAAGTTCTTTACGAACTTATCACGGGACCAGTTAACGTGGCGTGATTGTTAGTAAATATTTATTTATTTATTTTTATATATGTAGATAGATAGATAGATTATTTTGTACTCTTTGACCCAGATCAGCGATCGACGAAATAAATGGCCAAGAAGGCGCACACCTTGGCAACGAGGCCGGCATGCTTTACGGGGAATATTTGATGCTGGATAAACTGCTGTCTGCGCAGAGGATGCTCAGCGCTGAATCTTCTAAACCTGTACACGATGAGCATCTCTTCATCATCACACACCAAGGTAACATCCATATCCATAAAAATAGATTACAGTTGCTATTTATTACTGGTGGTAGGACCTCTTGTGAGTCCGCGCGGGTGGGTACCACCACCCTGCCTATTTCTGCCGTGAAGCAATAATGCGTTTCGGCTTGAAGGGTGGGGCAGCCGTTGTAACTGTACTTGAGACCTTAGAACTTATATCTCAATATGGGTGGCGCATTTACGTTGTAGATGTCTATGGGCTCCAGTAACCACTTAACACCAGGTGGGCTGTGAGCCCGTCCATCCAACTAAGCAATAAAAAAAAACTAGCACGCGTTAACGTCGAGTAATTTAAATCTAGTTTCTTTAACCAAGGTCATGACTATGTATAATTACACTTCAATACCCATAATAAAGGCGTTATTAGTCCAAGTACACTATAATTACTGTATCACTACTTTTAAAATAGGTTTGCATGTAAAACTGATTTAAAAACATCATGTAAATTTCAGTGCATATTCCATGTTCTTTAAATAATTTTAAGTATAAGATCTTTCGTCCCGTTAAAAAAAATTAAGTACCTAAATGTATTTTTTTGAAGCGATTTATTAATTTAGATTATATTTTTTTACTGTTATCACCATATATATGTAAATATTATGAAATAAAATACAGATATGTAATAAAATATATAAAGTATAAAAGATAATTCTTATTGTTTGTTTATTGATATAGCGTCAAGAAGTTTTTATTTTTTACATATTAAATTTAAATTCACCGCTTAAACGCTATTAAATTTAATTAGATTGGCGTACCTACACATTGATCTGCGAGACTATACAACAAACGAGTATTCAAATTTGAAAGTATACTTTTACGTCAAAATGCATTTCCGACAACGTTGCGACCGAGTTACCGATTTATGACAACCAAGCGTAATTTACGTAATCGACCTAAATCACATACATGCTGCATATCATCAGATAAATATATTGCTCACCGAAACTCGTATAGATAATACAAGTGTGCGTATTTATAATTTAAAACAATATGATTTTGACACTAAACATACCGATAACGAGTCAAATGACCCATCTTGAACTTTTGCATTTAAAATTCACGTATCATCTTAGTGCTTTATCACATTTGACTTCCCGATTTTTTCTTACCAATTAATCTACAGTCATTATATCAAATCAAATCAAATCAAAAAAGTTTTATTCAACATAAATGAAAGTACATACTTGTTGAACGTCAAAAGAATTACCGCCAATTCACAAGAATTAGCCTCCGTCCTGAGAAGAATTGGCAAGAAACTCAGCGGGCATGTTTTTTTTTTTTTTTTTTTTTTTTAAATATTAGATTTTTATTTTTATTTTAAATATTTTTTTTTTTTAAATATTCATATTACAATAAGTAATTATAACATAACAATTTTACAATATTGAAATTCCCGGAGCGAGCAACTCATTCCCACTTTGTGCAATCTTCTAGATAATATACTATATATTTTTTTGTTTAGTTTTGTTTATTTTGAGTGATACTTGTCGTATACCGTTATCTACCTGCTATTGTACAAATAGGTACCAGTGAGTGTGAGTATGATTAGTGTTAAATAATTAAGCCCTGCCCATTTGTGCCAAAGTAGTGTTGAATTTCGATCGCAAAGAAGGGACAGTCGTGTTTTTTTTTATTGCTAAGATTGGTGGACGGCTCACTGCCCATATGGTGTTAAGCGATACAGGGTGATGGTACCTACCCGTGCGGGCTCAAAAGACAATCAGAAAATTTTACTTCGACGGCGATTTGTCAAAGTGAGTGACGATCACTCATGCTATTTAATATAGCTTTATATACGTACTTAATAACAACTGAGTTGTCACTAACGATAATAATAAAAAAAAAAAAACAAAAAAAAAAACGACTTAAAAAAAATCATCAATGTAGTCGAAGTCAAAAAGAAAAACTCAAAAACTACTAATCGAACTTTGATTAATTTCACATTCAAGCACCGGCTTTCAATTAAAAAAAAGGATCATTGAATTCGGTTCACCTACAAAAAAGTTCTGAGGTACACACATAATATTATTATAGAAAAATACAGGCGCACCGAAAACCTCTCCTTTTTTAAGTCAATTAATAAAAATAATAAAAATAATAAAAAGTTAGAAGAAATTATATTTCCGAAATGTAAGTGTAAAATTACGAAATATTTGAACCTCAAAAGATAATTAATTAAAAATTAATTCACACTTTCTCCATTGCGTAATAATTTGATGTAATTTCTGTAAGTTTTTTACTGGTGGTAGGACCTCTTGTGAGTCCGCACGGGTAGGTACCACCGCCCCGCCTATTTCTGCCGTGAAGCAGTAATGCGTTTCGGTTTGAAGGGTGGGGAAGCCGTTGTGACTATACTGAGACCTTAGAACTATATCTCAAGGTGTGTGGCGCATTTACGTTATAGATGTATATGGGCTCCAGTAACCACTTAACATCAGGTGGGCTGTGAGATCGTCCACACATCTAAGCAATAAAAAAATAAAAATAAAAGTTTGGCAATGCGCTTGTGTACAAAGGCAAAGTGTACGCCACTTCAATGGACAAGTCATAATATATAAATGTAATGTAAAAAAAATGTAAACATTTCCTAACAGTTCCTTCTGGCTTACAACTGGGCTGGATATTTGTTGAATAACACTAAGTTCAGTTCCAACTTACCATCAGTAAATAAACTGGGCACATTTTTATATCTAATAGACGAACATTATTTTTGTAAGGGAATTTTTTCCCGTTCTTTATATAGTAATCAAGTTACTCAAATATAACCTGTTTCATAGACAAATTGCTTAATTGTTGCCACAGCCTACGAACTCTGGTTCAAGCAGATAATATTTGAAGTGGATTCTGTGAGGGCATTACTTAACGTGGAAGGCTTGGACGAAAGCCACACCATGGAGATATTGAAGAGACTCAACAGGATTGTGCTCATCTTGAAAGTGAGTATCATTTTTTATCACCTAAACTTCCGTTGTCAAATAAGTACAAGATGTTATTGTATTATTTGACGATAATATATCAGTAAGCATTGGAACAAATAAAATCGATTAATAACTAAAAACTTTACGAGATAGGATCACAAGTTTCAACATGCAGCGGCGACGATCACAGCTCTATACGATGACCAATCGATTATGAGCTACCACTAAAAACATGTTGTTAAATTCATTAATGATAACGCATCCGTCAGTATCAAACATAAATATATCGAACAAGCTACGCATAACCGCCAAGATAAGCCGCAACCCTGACAGTTGACCCGAAACAATAAAAATTTTTTTTTTAAATAATTATCTAGTTCAAAATAGTTGCGTTGAACTGTTTGTTTCCTGAAGTGTCTTCTAGATACACGCCCGTTCTATATACTAGCATTAACCGGTTGTTGTAGTAAGATTTTCCTATGTCCAGCCATTGTTGACATCTGTCAGGTGAACAAGAAGACAGAGAGATACTTCAACCAAATAAGATCGGAGATTGTAGTACCTAACGGCCGTCTGGTGTAGTGGTAAGTGACATGGTCACTACACAGGGGGGTCGCGGGTTCGAATTCCGCCAAGGGCATTATTTGTATGATAAATATAAATGTCTTTTCCAGGGTTATGGATGTCTATTAAATATATGTATGTGTATAATAAAAATCTTACATGTATATCCGTTATCTGGTACCTGTAACACAAGTTCTTTACGAACTTATCACGGGACCAGTTAACGTGGCGTGATTGTTAAAAAAAAAAAAAAAACTATAGGACGCAATTTGATCCAATTTTCATGCAGACAAAGGAAAGTTAGGGAATAGAGTACGGGAGAGTGATACCCGTCATCTTGTGGCAATGAGAGAGCTACATACATTTAGCCTCATTTTTCGATCCCACAGAAGCTCCAGTGAAGCTGTTATTGAAATATTTAAAACTACTAGAGGTCCCGCAGTAGTCGAANAAAAAAAAAAAAAACTATAGGACGCAATTTGATCCAATTTTCATGCAGACAAAGGAAAGTTAGGGAATAGAGTACGGGAGAGTGATACCCGTCATCTTGTGGCAATGAGAGAGCTACATACATTTAGCCTCATTTTTCGATCCCACAGAAGCTCCAGTGAAGCTGTTATTGAAATATTTAAAACTACTAGAGGTCCCGCAGTAGTCGAAATTCGACTATAATTAATTGGAATTCTAAGTTTGTACACTATAATGATTGTATTTTATAATCACAAATTTCGCCAAGACTACACTATAAAAAATATTAACAAAGACAAACAATATTTAATCTCAATTTGACAACAGACGTCAAGAACAAAAGTTTCACAATAAATAGTATGCATGCGTGTGTGCGTCAAATACATGGTATGTAGTGTGTGTAATGTTTTCTTTATCGATTTAATGTATCTTTTATGCATTATTTAAAAAAAATTTTAACATTGTGCACTTCTTCTCTATATTCTCTATAAGTGTGTAAAATTTCATACTCCTCCGTCCGCGCAATTTTCGTAAAAAGGGATACAAAGTTTTTGCTTCACGTATTAATATATAGATTCTGTTACAAAAACGTCCAAGATGGTTAATCGTTATCAATATTAAATTAATGTCGCCGCACATAATGTGTCAGTATTTACGATGTTGTACGGAAGATAGCACTAGTGAACCTATTAATAAACAGTTCTGTTTGTACTAATTGAATTGAACGCACTTTTACAAATGTAAAAGCGAATATTTATTTTCTATTTACCGCAAGCTGATATCTTAAATAGATTTACATATTATTATGTAAATATGATCTTTATGGAGCGATGATCTTTATTTAATTTTAGACACTAGCGAATGACCGGATTTTTTGATAAATTGTGCTTTTTAGAAATTATATTTAAATACGAATTACATATTGATATTATATTACATAATTTGTTATTTTCTTTCAATAAAAAAAAAAAAAAGTTTATGCTTAAGTTGATTATCGATAAAGTTGATTATTGAAAACACGAATAAAACAACTTTTTCTGAAAATAAATCGTAGCTAGATCGATTTATCGCCCCCGAAATCTTCTGTATACTAAATTTTATGGAAATCGTTGGAGCCGTTTCCGAGATTCAGATTAGGTATATATATTATATATATATATATATATATATATATATATATATATATATATTTATACAAGAATTGCTCGTTTAAAGATATAAGATATATCGTATTTTTTTTTCATACGTTTATGGCTTTATCTTGTGAGTTAAATGTATTTATTGGTTTCAAAGAATGGGTGTCGTATATAAGGACGGATATCTATCAATAGAAATGCTTTAAATAACCATTTTTATATAAAGCTTTTTACGTAAGGAGTGGACCGTTGATCTTGAAAACCAGTACGAACATAATAAAAATTACTTTTACGGTTAAATCCCGCATTTTATAAAAAAAATTACATGAACACTCATAAGAATTCGAATTGTCGTAAATATTATACTAACGATTAAAAAAAAAACATCCTAAAAAGATTTCGGTGGCCTGTCTGAACGAGGATATGCGAGAGAAGAGTCTGAATGCAGAGATGACGTATGATAGGTCTGAATGGAAACAGAGGACATGTTGCAACAATCCAATATACTTCGATAAGAGGAACAAGAATAAGAAACCTGATATTAAGCCGTAATAACTAATTTGATCTGTGTCCACGGCTCGAGAAGACCGAAGAAACTACTAACTAGGTAGTATGAAGATCAGCATCTGTTTCTATTTCTCCTTAGAATGTTGGGTCATCGAGACGTTAATCTATATATATAAATGAATTGCTGTTCGTTAGTCTCATTAAAACTCGAGAACGGCTGGACCGGTTGGCTAATTTTGGTCTTGAATTATTTGTGGAAGTCCTGAAAAAGTTTAAAAGGTAGATAAATATGAAAATGCTTGGAATAAAATAAAAACAACAATTTTGTTTTTCCTTTGATGTGTCCCCCGTCGAACGGATTCCTTTTGTTTGTTTTAAGTTTATTTTATACAAAAGCTTAGGTATTTTATTTATCGATTGAGGCAGTACGAAGTCTGCCGGGTCAGCTAGTAAATAATAATCTTTAGCTCAGAAATCGAGGATAAATTCTGATGATTATGCTCCTTCAGAATGTAACTCGCCGATTTTATCTCAGACTATTTCGAGACCTGTGTCTACAAATTAAATAAATAGTTTGTTTAAGAACTTTAATTATGTACAATTTTATGTGGCGACTGGATTACCTAAAAGTGTGAGATATATTGCTTTTTTTATTGCTTAGAGGGATGGACGAGCTCAAGGCCCATCTGATGTTAACTGGTTACGGAGCTCATAGACATCCACAATATAAATGCCGTCACCCACCTTAACACATGAGTCCTAAGTCACAGTTTTACAGTACAACGACTCCCGAATGGTCAAAGCGGAACGCATTACTACTTGACGCGCAAAGATAGGATATAGTAAAATGAAACCCGCAAAATTATAATTTGCGTAATTACTGGTGGTAGGACCTCCTGTGAGTCCGCGCGGGTGGGTACCACCACCCTGCCTATTTCTGCCGTCAAGCAGTAATGCGTTTCGGTTTGAAGGGTGGGGCAGCCGTTGTAACTATACTTGAGACCTTAGACCTTATATCTCAAGGTGGGTGGCGCATTTACGTTGTGAATGTCTATGGGCTCCAGTAACCACTTAACACCAGGTGGGCTGTGAGCTCGTCCACCCATCTAAGTAATAAAAAAAAACAAAAAAAAAATGTCTACCCGAGCTAGCTCACAAGAAACAACAACCTCCTGACAATAATAACGCAAATTAGAATTTTTGCGGGATTCTATTTTTATTACACACGCTGTAGTTTAAAAAGTAAAAAGAAAACACACTTTCAAAGCGAGCCGAATTAAAAATAATTACGTTTTTATTCTAATGATTCTGGTTTTAGCCAAATTATTGAATCTTTTTCTGTTATCGTGGGTCGTGTGCAAATTGAAAAATTCATTTAAATAAATAGATAGACAGAACGACGGAGGTCAAAGTAATAAATATTATAATTTTCGTTCGCGTTCTCATTGGCTTTAAAATATTTTAAAAGACATATTGTTTTTGCGTATTTTCACGTATTTTCACGTCTTTTTCATACTACTGTATATGTTATAGTAAAAGTAGGTTTTTTTTTATTGCCCTTGTAGGCAGACGAGCATACGGCCCACATGGTGAGTGGTTACCATCGCCCATGGATTTCAGCAATGCCAGGGGCAGAGCCAAGCTGCTGCCTACCGCTAAAATGTACACATTTTCCGATAAATGTGCACATTTGCCTCCTCGTTTGGCTAATGTGCATACAACTAACATTTACAATTTCAAACAAGGGAAATGTACATTGAATTCACAATGATCATGTCGTTTTGGTAAATGTGAGCATGGCATACAAAATACTAAATCACAAGTGCTAATAGTGTGGTGCGCATGCGCTTGCGCACAATGACATCCTAACCTAACCTAACCTACGACATATTATATAATCTATAAAGAAAAGTATGCTTTGTTTGTCATTTATATTTTTGAATTAAAATAATTTTCGTTATTAAAGCCTTTTGTATTATTATATTATGTTTATTTAAATAAATATTTTTTTACTGCAACAACATTATTAATTAATTTGTATTCCAACTTTTCTTAAAACATGAAGGTAAGAGTATACATTTACCAAAACGTCAAGGCAAGAGTACATACACATTTGTCGGGAAATGTACATATACATTGTATTCAGTTCACATATACCTAACTTTTTGGCAAATGTGCACATTTACCGGTAAAAGTGTACATTTCCCAAGAGTGTACATTTACTGTAACACATATAACTAGAAGAACTTTGTGACGTGTACTTTGTTTATACATATAAACATACAGTATCAAATGTTAACTTTCCACTTCGACACCAGACACTGTCTCATTTCAAATTGACTTTCTTATAATATAACAACTATCAAAAATTCTCTTGCAATCTTGCTGCGATATGTGAATATATTCTAACTATATAAAACTATTCACGAATAAACTCGTATTCTAAATATAGGGTGCAGTTTTTCTTAAAATATAAAATATAGATATAAATATAAAATATAAATATGCAGTCCAATTTACTTTAATTTCAATAAAATTGAGGAACTTCTTCAAAAAGTTAATCAAACATTGAAATACATTTGTTTTGTTTAATTTGCTAACAATATACAGGATGTGATATTTTTAACAAAAGAATTATTTTTGAAATTTTAAAACGAAAAAAATAATAATTAAAAGTAATTTTTTTTTTTAATTTTGGTTTGGCTATTTGTTGGCTTCTGGTATCTTTCGTGGCATTGTCTATCGCAGAGCGCACTCGAGAAACAGAGGTAACGTTAACTAGTGTCATTCGCACTGATGTCAATGGACTCCTATAACCATTCACACCAAGCAGCTCTTGTGCTATCCGAAGTACCAAAAACCTTGTATAAGTAGTTTAAAATAGTTACACCCCTTTTACAGACAGGCTTTCATTTCTCTCTAGCTCTTAAATGAGCTAACCGCCTAATTGATTTAAATAAATTAATATCCATAACATAACATCTTCAAATACATTTCCAGCTGCTGGTGGATCAAGTGATGATTTTGGAGACGATGACACCGCTCGACTTTATGGATTTCAGGCACTATCTCCGTCCAGCATCAGGCTTCCAGAGCTTGCAGTTCAGACTACTAGAAAATAAGGTTAACCAATACACTCTATACATAAATAAGCAAAGACGAAAAAAATCAAGTACCATTTCCGACTTTGATCATTGAGCATACATTACCGGTGGTTAGACCTCTTGTGAGGCCAGGGTGGTGGTATACATGTGCGCTATTTCTGCCGTGAAGCAGTAATGCGTTTCGGTGATTGATCCTTAAATACCTTCTAGGGGAGAAGGTAATTTTATTTATAATTATTACATCATATTTATAATTATAATTTGGGTAATTGCTGGTGCTAGGACCCCCTGTGAGTCCGCACGGGTGGGTACCACCACCCTGCCTATTTCTGCCGTGAAGCAGTAATGCGTTTCGGTTTGAAGGATGGGGCAGCCGTTGTAACTATACTGAGACCTTAGAACTCATATCTCAAGATGGGTGGTGGCATTTACGTTGTAAATGTTTATGGGTTTCGGTAAACACTTATCACCAGGTGGGATGTGAACTCGTCCATCAATATAAGCAATATAAAAAATAAATAAATAAAAAACGAATGTGATATTTGGTGGTTAAAAGTTAGCTAGTTGTAGTGCCAATTGTAAGCCCGCTTTACCCGTATTTCTCATCCTGCTAATTGGATCGAAGCAGTGACGAGTAATTGTGAGATAGCCGTTGTACATAATACACATGAAACATGGACTGCATTTGAAGTTGGGTAGGAACATTCGCGTTGTCCTGTATGCACAATAAGATCAGCCGCCTACCGAGAGCAAATCACCAAATCGACACCAATTTAATTCATAAAATATACGCTTTAATGATTTTTCTTTTAGCTTGGTTTGAAACAAGCCCTGCGCGTGAAGTACAATCAAAATTATCAAACCGTGTTTGGCGACGACCCTGAAGCTATGGACTCCTTACAAAAGTACGTTTAATTTTATCTATATTGTCTTATTAGAGGGCGTCATGGCCAAAAGGATAAGTGGACCGGCATACAGGTATCAAGTAACTATTTCTCTTCTTCTTCTATATCGTTCCATTACTGCTGAGGATCGCGCCACATGTGACATTCTTCCATTGTGTTTGATCATGGGTGGCATGGACCGCATGGTACAGACTACCACCAAGTGCTTGTCTTACTAGATCTGACCGTCTGGCTGCCCTCTATGCAACTATGCCTGGGTTCTAATCCCGAATGGAAGCAATAGTTTTTTAGGTGCGAAATATCGAGACCTTTTACAAGAGCAATATATTTCAATTTTTTTTGCAAATTTTGTGTGACCTTCTGCGTGACTTCGATATTGAAAGACAACGAAGCTTGTTCACGAATGCTCAAAGTTGCCGCGCCATATAACATAGATGCTAATGCTTTGCGACATTACAAACTAGTTACTTATATCGTCTTTTGACATTAAAAGTGTACAATTTCCAAAAATATTCGAAATTGAATTAATATGCGGAATCATTTGGATACCAGTATTTTTCTCATAAATACTGTCAAGAGAGCGTAGTTTAGTTTTTGTTGTTTTTTTTTAATTTACCTATGCTTTGACTTCTATTAACAAAATTAATACATAATTTTATCATTTTTATCTTACTTTAAAAGACAGATAATGTAACTGGTAAAAATAAAAAGAAATATTGCAAAGATGATTAATATTTAAAAGATCACATAAAACTTTAAAACACTCTCCTCCTGTAAAATTAGTAAGTTTTGAGATTATCTATATATTAATACGTAAAGCAAAAACTTTGTATCCCTTTTTACGAAAAAATTGCGCGGACGGAGGAGAATGAAAATTTCCCACACTTAAATAGAGAAGGAGTGCACAATTTTTTTTAAATAATGCATAAATGATGCATTAAATCAATATAGAAAACATTAGGCACACTGCCATGTATGTGACACACACACATATCTATATTATATACTCCACTGAAGCATGATATAACCTTGTTTATTGTCAAACTTTAGTTTGTCAAAAACTGTGGTCAAATTGAAAAAACGTTAATATTGTTTAACTTTAATATTATTTGTCTATAGCGTAGTCTTTGCGAAATCTGTGATTAGAGAAGTATAATAGTCTTTGACAATATAACCATAATAATGTTCAAAATTATAATTTCAATTAATTGTAGTCAAATTTCGAATACTGCGGGACCACAGTTTTAATGCGAGAAGACGATATGTCAATTAAATTTATTCGACAATTATAGATCTGAACAAGAACCTGCACTGCTAGCGCTGATCGAGCGTTGGCTGGAGCGTACTCCCGGACTGAACACGCACGGGTTCAACTTCTGGGGGAAATTCCAGGCAACAGTCAATAAAATGCTGAAGGAAGATATAGAGACTGCTAATGTAAGTTAATTTTAAGAATACCGAGAAAAACAAGTTCTATATACAATACAATAATAGCTTCAGGGCTTTGTTGAGACTTGCACCCTATTGTAGTGCATCAGGTATGTGCACCGATGCATATATTGATGATTATTTCGTGATAATACGCAAAAAAGGTCGCATCCAGTAGGAGGTAGCACCAACAACGTCTTGAAAGTATTAGCAAAAAGGCTGGACCGACCCTGGGTAGGTTCATCAAGTTGCACATTCTGCATGCTGCTTGATTGATATGTTTAGATTTACTTAAATACTAACATAGTTCATTAAGTTATTTATTATAATAACACACTGTGAGACTGATGTCCCGAAATAAAAGATTTTATTTATGTAGTTTATGTGTAATTCGGCTGAGTTGAAACACAATATAAGTCATAACCTAACGTGTAAAATACTCTTATCAAGTTCAACAATTACGCTAGGATTTGAATTAGGCTGTAACCGATTTATTTAGTAAATATGTCGGAACTTCAAAGATTAATTAATAAAATGTAATGATCTTAAAAAAAAGTGTTAAATCGTATTGAGACCATATGTCAATGATAATTTATGGAGTACAGCAGAGGGTGATAAGATATCACTGCAAGCCGTTATGTGCATAATGTTTAAAATGTTTTGTATTAAAAATAAAACGACACATTTGCCGTATGCATAAGAAATATAGATTTAAGAGATAATGACGCGTGTTAAAAGTTATAGAACGTTAGAAAGTTTATAGCGATAACAATATGGCGGACATATTTCGCGCGTTAGGCATGTAAATTGTATTAAATTTTACAGCTCGAGTCCATAGACGCCGTTCGCCGCCATCGGCTTCAAGACGTGGAGAATAGAAGGGAGATTTATCGTTCGATATTTGATCCGACTGTGCATGACGCGCTCAGGTCCAGAGGAGAAAGGAGGTATGCAGAAAATTATTGTAATAGTTCTTAGACCCAACCGTGAGGGGTTTTGTAGTAGGAATAGTCCAGTTGCGCGGGAATCTTGATGTTAATGTGATTTGATATTTGGTAAAATGTTGAACACATCAGTACCGTTTTAGATTGAAAATTGGTGGAAATTAAAAATAGAATTAACACAATGCTATTCCGTAGCTGAACTTATAAAATTTTGAATGGACACAGTTAATTATAATTGTTAAAAAGTGCGTCTTTTACGATTCAAAGCTCAATTTAGTTAATAACGGTATTTATAATGAATTATAAGTACCTACGTTTTAAAGCTAGAACTATAATTAAGAGTTTCTTGCATGAAACTGATCAGTGAAATACAACGAATATCGCTTCTGTCGCCTATGAGAATATGGCTCTGACTATTACGCAAATATAAACGTTGCCAGTTTGAGTGAAGATGAACTTGTCTCTTGACTTAATAACATTAAGTCTGGCAACAATAAAATGAAAACTCTAGCTTGGTAGGTACTCATGGGTATTAGCAACGCCGACGCGACGATGCTAATATCGGAAGGACTGTTAAAACCTCGTTTGAAGATTTGAAACGACCGCGCTTTGGAAACGCCAAATAAATCTAGAAGGAAGACAATAAATTTAGGGCGACACAAATGGTTTTTATTTTTTTTATTTTTTATTGCCGTATAGGCAGACGAGCATACGGCCCACCTGATGGTGAGTGGTTACCGTCGCTCATGGACGTCAGCAATGCTATGGGCAGAGCCAAGCTGCTGCCTACCGTTTAATACTCTCCACAAGCCTCATTTGAAGAAGAACATGTCATAGCGCTCGGGAAACACCGTGAAACACCGCGTTCTTGAGAACGTCTCTCTTAATTTCAGGCTGTCACATAGAGCACTCCAAGGTGCAATAATGATCACGTTTTATCGCGACGAGCCTCGGTTCTCGCAGCCGCATCAGCTCCTCACCCTGCTGATGGACATCGACAGCCTCATCACGAAATGGCGTTGTGAGTTATTTATCTATATATTAATACGTGAAGCAAAAACTTTGAACCTCTACGAAAATTGCGCAGACGGAGGAGTATTAAATTTCCCGCACTTACAGAGAATATAGAGAAGGAGTGCAGAATATAATTAATTTTTTTAATTATGCATCAAGAATACCTTAAATCAATAAAAAAAAATCATACATACTACCATGTATTTGACAGAACACATAATAATATATTTAAACTCTTTGTTTATTGTTTTAAATCTGTATTCAAATTGAGAATAGATTAATATTGTTTGTCTTTAATATTATTTGTCTATAGTGTAGTCTTAGCCATAGATTATACACCACTTAATATATGTCTGGTTGGTCTTAGCGAAATCTGAGAATAAAGAAGTATAAAAATAATCTTTGACTACCAACCAACCAATAAAAATATTCAAACTTAAAATTTCAAACAATTATAGTCGAATTTCGACTCTGAGGGACCACTAGTATTTGTAATTGTGAGAGCTGTTGCAATATTTACATGGCGTAAAAGCGTATGGATGCACGTAATCAACCACTACAGATCATCTGAAGTTGCCGAAAAATATCTAAATCAGAAATTAAGCCGCATCCCATATATTTTTAAGGCTTTTTATACGATATCCAATAGAACTTTAAACTGAGACATTTTTATGAAGAAAATCCTTAACCGTCCTCATCTCGGCAATACTTGTTTTCGAAAACGGTAAGCTATTTAAGCTTTTGCTGTGTAGACCTTCAGAAAAATAGTAGAATATAAATAAATATAAAGATACAAAAGAGGCACTCACAATAACTCTCTAAAAAAAAGTAATTGTATTTTCTATTCGCAGAATACGAAATAATTTAACGATTTTAAATATAAAAAAGTATGTTGAGAGCGGCGAGTTCAATTTCTTCATCAGTATTTTTTCCAGCAAATCGAATAAGTGAAGAGACGAATGAACAACAAAAAGAATTTATATTTAAATTTGTCGTTCGTTTAAGTAGTCGTGACTTTATATTACAGACAACCACGTTATAATGGTGCAAAGGATGATCGGGTCGCAACAGCTCGGGACCGGGGGCTCGTCTGGCTATCAATATCTACGGTCAACATTAAGGTAACTTAAAAACATACGTTAATTCTCGCTATCACAGTACACTCCCAGGACTTAGTCACGTGAACACGTTTGAAGTCGTCGTGGCCTAAAGGATAAGACGTCCGGTGCATACGTGTTGAGCGATGCACCGGTGTTCGAATCTCAGGCGTGTACCAATTTTTCTAATTGAAATACGTACTCAACAAACGTTCACAATTGACTTTCACGGTGCAGGAATAACATCGTGTAATAAAAATCAAACCCGCAAAATAGCCTTCCTAAATAAGTAGACTATCTAATACTGAAAGAGTTTTACAAATCGGACCAGTAGTTCCTGAGATCAGCGAGTTCAAACAAACAAACTCTTCAGCTTTATAATATCAATAAAGTATAGATTGAATAGAAATATTTATATATATGTATATAATGTATTTATTTATTTAAATCAAAATACAGTTTAGCTTTGTAAAACTATAGCAATTGAGTTGCTCTTATAAAGAGAAACAACATTTAAAGCTATTGCTTCACCATTATTTTTATATCTTTTTATATATTAATATTGCAAAAATGCTCTTTATATGTCTAATATTCTAATGTTTCAATAATCGAAATTCTATTTATGTCATCTATAGAAGAATGATATAAATAACATATTAACCTCTTTAAGGATTAATCGTATAGAGGTTACATATATTTATATATATTTATAACCGTTTATTTGTTTGTTTGTTTACGTACTATATAAAAATGTATTTATTAATTACAGCGATCGTTACAAAGTCTTTCTTGATCTGTTCAATTTGTCCACGTTCCTGTTGCCTCGCGCCCTGATACCGCCACTGGACGAAGACATGAAACGCAGCCTCAATCTCACCTGGGGAGACAACGTCAGGGAAAACGGAGACGAGACGACCCCGCAAAACGGCCTTGAAGCTTCTTTATAACGAAAAATTATAATGTGTCCTGACAATATTTTTAAGACATATTTTATTACATTTTTAATTCAAACGATGTATTTTTTTATGTACCCTCTTTTTTAACGCTAATGAAAACTTTTTTTTTATTGTCCAGTTGGGTGGATGAGCTCACAGCCCACCTGGTTTTAAGTGGTTACTGGAACCCATAGACATCCACAATGTAAATGCACCAGCCACCTTGAGATATAAGTTCTAAGGTCTCAAGTATAGTTACAACGGCTGCCCCACCCTTCAAACCGAAACGCATTACTGCTTCACGGCAGAAAAGGCGGGGTGGTGGTACCTACCCGTGCGGACTCACAAGAGATCCTACCACCAGTAATTACGCAAATTATAATTTTACGGTTTTAATTTTTATTACACGATGTTATTCCTTCACCGTGGAAGTAAATCGTGAACATTTGTTGGATACGTATTTCATTAGAAAAATTGATACCCGCCTGAGATTCGAACACCGGTGCATCGCTCCACACGAACGCACCAGACTCTTATCCGTTAGGCCACGACGACAAACCTTTACGAATACCCGGGGTTTTAACAGATCGGTTCATGTTCACGGACGTCGATTATATTATTATTTTATATTATATTGCAATCAATTATAATTATCCACCTAATAATATAGTTGATAGCACTGTGGTTGATAGCAATCATGGCAGCAAAACAGATGAAAGTATTCTTACTAAAATTTAAATTTTACTTTAAATACTATCTTTAATTTCCGAATTTATCTGACTAATTTTTAACTGACAAAAATATTGTTATTCTGTTATTACTCTCACATGAAATGTGAAGGGACTGTTATTGAGATAATCTATATCTATACTAATATACAAATCTACAGTGGTTTTTACGGATGTTCCATTACAACTACTGAACCATGCATCCGATGGACTTGAAACTTGGTATCCATGTAGAAAATACATGTACTTAATGGATAGGCTAACATTTATCTGAGTGTTGGATTCACTAATAATAATGACAGTCTATCTATCTATATATATAAAAATGAATTGCTGTTCGTCAGTCTCGCTAAAACTCGAGAACGGCTGGACCGATTTGGCTAATTTTGGTCTTGAATTCTTTGTAGAAGTCCAGAGAAGGTTTAAAAGGTAGATAAATATGAAAATGTTCGGAATAAAAATAAAAATAACAATTTTGTTTTTCCTTTGATGTATCCCCCCGTCGGACGGATTCCTTTTGTTTGTTTTAAGTTTATATTATACAAAAATTTAGGTCTTTTATTTATCGATTAAGACACTACAAAGTCTGCCGTCAGCTAGTCGATACTAAATTAGAACCTAATAAGACCTCTTAGTACCTTAAATATTTTTTTAACTTTTTAATACAAAATCATCAAAAACTTGACTGCTTTCGTTCATAGCATTGCATGTTATTAATGACGAGATTAAAATCAAAAAGTTTCAAGAATGCAGTTTGTTTATTAGGTCATCGAAATCGTGCTCATAGCAAAGTTCACGCAGGCAAAACAATAGGATACTGCAGCTTTTGAGCGGCAAATCTGTACACCACTTTATGTTTATACACTTCGCCAGGATACAGAACTGCTCTCGGGAAATTCGTGTGATGGACAGCGTCCGGGTAATTTTGGGTCTCGAGACAGAACGCGCCGTGACGTCTGTAGCCAACTCCCTGTTTACCAACCAGAGCAGACTCTTGAGGAGCAGGGAGGGAGTTAGAGGTGTAAAACTGGACTCCGGGCTGATCGCTGTAGACTTCGAGAGTGCGTCCCGATGATGGATGAAGGATCCGAGACACGAAATTTAATGACTGCAATAAATGAATTATTATATTAATTAAAATTAAAGCCACATCATAATGATCATTCGTGTGTATGATATGTTCTATTTAGGCTTGTTGAAAAAATATCAATACATCGAAATATCGATATTATTTATTCAATTTATCGATTTTTTGAGCGATATTTTATACTTCGATACATCGATGTATCGATATAAAATTCCAAGTATCGAAAGGGTATGAAAATCGATATTTTTTCAGACCAACAAACATTTATATGTTCCCGGGATTTTTTTTTATGAAATTTCATGAAAGATTTTGAAATTTTATGAAATTTCAGAAAATTTTATGAAATTATACTATTAAAATTTTATAAAGTTTCATAAAATGTCATTAAAAATTATGTCTATTGATTAGCACGAATTTTCTCTGTCAAATCATACCGATATATCGATATTTTTTAATAAAAATATGTATCAATATCGATATTGATATTTTCAAAAAATATCGATCCGATATATATCGATTCTTTATTGCATTTCGGACATCCCTAGTTCTATTAGAGCAGGGTTGGCCAATCGGTCGATCGTGGCAAGACAAAAAATATAAATAAATAGAACAGACTGCGCAACGTAATCACCAACTGCTGCGCGCATCATCTTCGTCTTGTATAATTTGTTAATGACCATTACGTCACATTATTCATCCTCTCTTCTACACAATAATTCTCTTTTATTATATAATTTCAGGTTTATTTTAATCTGTATAATAAAAGAAAATAAGCTACTTATTTGTATACTGAATGAACTACATTATTTCATTAAATTTCAAGAAAGGTCATTGGTAGATCGCAGAGTATTTCGTCAGAAGACAGTACATCTTGGTTGTAATCAAGTTGGCCACCCCTGTATTAGAGCATACTCGAACCGATTGTACTCAATGTGCTTAGTGCGAGTTTTTTAACGTTCTCGACAGCGTAAAAGTTAACCCAATTATGTGTGCAGTTGAAACAGCGCCCCTAGCGGCAAACGTAGGCAGACGATCCCATTCCATACAAATATGAGCTAACGTTTACGCTATCGAGCACGTTAAAAAACTCGCACTAAGCACGCAGATAGTAATAAGTATTCGAGTTCTATTCGTCTTGTGGCAACCAGTTAACGAAGTGAACTCTCAGAGAACATCGCGCGATTTGCATAATTTTTTTATAAATATTATTATTTACATAACAATAAAATCAAATCTTAATTAATTCATTAAAATTAGCTGATATCTGATTATATGAAAAAATATCATCACGGAGCTATGGCCTCTTAATTTCAATGCTTTAACGGGCCATTACTGTTAAGTGTACAATTGAACACGCTCACTTTATTTGTGTACGTTGAGATGCAGAAGTTGTCATCGAAACCGTTCCCAGTTTTATTTATGACGTCGCCGAGTTTAGTTGGGACGCGAAGATCGTAGGGCGTTCCTCCTACGCTTATAAAACCACCAGTCGGAATTGATCCAGAATCCGTCTCCGTGATCCTGAAAAGTTTCATCTATTCTTTAAAATTTGTGAGGGTAACTTTGTTCTTAATGTGGATTAGGCGATCCGATCCATTTCTGATTGGTAACAATAGGTGTTAGTTCACAGCAAAAGAATTCGGTATCGTGCCTATAAAGGTAGGGTGAGATAAGGCGAACTGCCTAATAAGAATATCAATCAGTAAATCACAACTCAAAACTCTTTTCAACTGCCACCGTTTTCATTCACAGAAATGTTGATCCTATATTATGTTTATGTTGCCTCCGTAGTATGTTAGGCCCTAAACACGTCATTAGGGATCCTCTAGATCCATTAACGGTGCTTTTAGTTACCTCAAGCACCGGTCACCGTCCTCGCCGAACCTGTCGCTAGCGACGAAGGGCTCGACGAGTAAATTACCCATAGACACAGCCCACTGAGTTTCTCGCCGGATCTTCTCAGTGGGTCGCGTTTCCGATCCAGTAGTAGATTCTGCGAAGCACTGCTCTTGCTAGGGCCAGTGTTAGCAACATCCCCGGTTTGAGCCCAGTGAGCTCACTTACACGTCAAGGAGAAGCTCAAATAGCCTCTCAAGGCTATCGGCACAGGTAGGAAAAAAAGTATGTTAGATGATTGACACAGGGCTGCCACAAATATCTCGTTAATTTGAAATTGTTCGACAATTTGACATTGTAAAAAATGAGCTCGAGGACAGCTTTCATAGAGAGAGATACATACATATATACAGCTTTGAAATGTGTGAAATCTCACTTTTGCTGTTCGTAACACTTAAAGCTTTATCAAATATACGCATTAAGAAAAAAGCAAAGGTACATATTATTATGCAATTTAAGACTATAGATACCAGTGATTGCTTTTGCACATCAATACCTACCCTGAATGTAATACCGAATATTAAAAACTGGCTATACGGACCATCTTGAATCATGATACAATATTCCATGGAATTGGCATAATATTTTATTTCCTTCGAAAGTGAATATGGGTTGCTTCAAATAAATAAGAAGGAACATAATAGAACCGTGTTCACAACAAGCTACCTACCGCAAACGATTATGTTAGTAATTGAAAAATTTGGAAGTGGAATGCGATGTCCATGGAATTCACTCTGAACTTTCTTTTAGTACATATTAGCGATACCAGAAGATAGTTTATATCGATGAAAAATATTAAAGTTCGAATTGGAATAAAATAAGAACATATCATCACCATCATCATCATTTTCCTGCCCTTCCCCCAGTTACCTGGGGTCGGCGCAACATGTTTTCTCCTTCCATACTCTTTTATCATATACCATTTCTTTGCTCACTCCTCTCTTACCCATATCGTCTTTCACGCAATCCATCCATTTCTTCTTAGGTCTACCTCTTCCTCTATATCTTTCCACATTCATAGTTAACATTTTCTTACCAAGCTCATTTTCATTTCGTCACATGTCCATACCATCCCAAACGCGCACTTCTCAGATTCTCTGTCACAGATGCCACTATCAGACTTCCTCTAACATATTCGGAATAAAATAAGAACCTAATAAACGCGAGATTTAAACATTTAAGTAGTCTTAATTTAGCATACTATACATAAATACGAAATGTTTCAACTTACTTGTCAGCGTTTATAACAAAGATATGGTTGTAGATCTCTTGGACACCAGTATCGTGGCCAGCCAAATTAAAATACGAATGGTTCGTCAGATTTACAACGGTCTTTTTAGTTGTCGTCGACATAAAGTCGACATGCAAGGCATTGTCCTCGGTAACTTCATAAGTAATGTTAGTAATAAGATCACCCGGGTATCCTTCTTCGCCGTCCTTTGATAGATAACTAAATATCACTTTAGTACCGTCAACGGTGGAATTCCAATTCGCCTGAAATTAATAAAAATAAAGCGTTTCTATTTTATAAATTATTTTTAGTAAAATAGCGCAAACCACACGAGGCCCGTATTGTTATAAAAATATCTATACGCAAACGCACTGCGGCTTTTTGCGTTATCAGAAAAATCGCACTTACAGTCGGTATTTGACGTGTCAACTGTAACAAATAGGAGCGTTGCAGCTGACAGGCGTAACTGACGCTGCAATACCACAGAGAAGTCGTTTCCAATTATTATCGTAGCTAGAACCCATCAGCATCTTTTTTCACGTACTATTTACTTGCCTACCTATGCTGGTAACCTCGAGGGGTTATACCAGCTTCATCTAACTTATAGACGAGCTCAGGGGGTTCAGCCCGGCGAATTTGCTAACACTAGCTCCAGCAAGAGCAGTGCTTCGCAGAATTGCTGGTAGTAGGACGTCTTGTGAGTCCGCACGGGTAGGTACAACCACCCTACCGATTTTTGCCATGAAGCAGTAATGCGTTTCGGGTTGAAGGGTGGCACAGCTGTTGTAACCATGCTGAGACCTTAAAACTGTTATCTCAAGGTGGGTGGCGGCATTTACGTTGTAACGTTGGGCTGTGAGCTCGTTCACCCATTTAAGCAATAAAAACAAAATCTACCACCAGATCGGAATCGCGACCCACTGAGAAGATCCGGCGAGAAACTCTAAAGTTGCCTATATGATATTAGAGGGGATAACAGTTCCAAATTACCTTATTAAATCCATTAATCCCGCCATGTAAATGATCTTTCCCAATGTTGTTAGCGAGTTGATAAGTCGTGCCGTCGATGCTGAATTTTGCTCCGCCGATCCTGTTGGCACAGCGACCGACCGTGGTCCCTAAGTACGGTGTGTTTCTGTTCACGTACCCGTCGAGTTCGTCAAAGCCCAGAACAACGTCACTGGTGATTCCGTATTTGTCCGGTACCTTGATGAATTATGTTTGATATTAGAATTCGTTTTTACTTAATAAGCACAATAGTCTTTATAAGTCGTTAAACAAAAACCGGAATAAGGAAAAAATGCCTTTACTTTTACCTTAGTACATCTGAAATACTTATCTGCTTGAACAAAAACTAAGAGGACCAGGTCAAGCAGTTCTGATTCTGACGGGTAAAAATACATAGTTATGAATCTATTATGGACTTCAAATTATGAAAAAATAGATAAGTCTTGAAATCGCTCGAGTTTCTAAAAGCCACCCAAACTATATTTTCTTTGTAGCAGGGTTGCTACAGGGTTCGCACCGCAAAACCCTTTGCGGTGCTACCAATTTCGGTAGCAGAACCTTTAACGGGCTTAAAAAAGTAATCATCCAAACTCGATAATTTCCGAGGAATCAAGACTGACACCGAATCAATTTATTTTCATTGTAAAAAACAAAACATATCATAAAAAGAACCATTCAAAAACGTGCAAAACGTGAACTTAACTCTAAGAGTTCGTTTTGCTAAGCAATGGAATTAATTTAATTTAATCGCATTAGATGATTGAATTAATTAGCAGCAGTTTAGCAGTGCCCAGGACATTTTTACAAAGTCTCTCAAGTCTAATTTCGTATGTCCAAAAAGGCAATAAAAAACACACGCTACGTAATGAGGTTAGCGATGCCGTAAAAGAGTATTATGTCAATTACCTGAATTGACTGTATGGTAGCCCCATATGAAATGACGGACACTGAGAAGCCATCAGACGCCCTCCACGTGAATTTTGAAACCGTCTCTCCATGATGCTGTCCAAAATCCTCAACATTCAAAGTCACCATGTTTATTATTCAAAACTGAAAACCGAGTAAGTAAAACAGCCACATGAAAAATAAGTATTCTTGACTAAATTTCTGTTTTCCTTGTATGTTGATGAACAGTAGACAGCAAGCAGCTTGACTGTTATTCTGGTATTGTCGAAGTCAATGAACGACAATAACCACTTACCACCGGCTGTACACCACAAATAAGCTCGTCAGCCTTCAATGATGATAAAATATGTTCCTTCGAGCATAATTCTAAAATGATTAGACTGAATTAAATAACATTTTGTGTTTGAGGAGTTCAGATTTTTCTTTCGCTTCGAACATGACGAGAGCTAGAGACCCTTGTGTAGTAGTAATTGCGGATTCTAAAGAGTAAACAGTGAAAACTATCATAACGTTATTAGCATTAATCTGATTAGTAACCTTAAATTATAAATAAATTTCGTTCCAGTAACTTTATAAGAACAAGTAAGTTTATAATTTTGATTTAATACCACAAAACTAAATTACAAAAAAAACTATAGCATTAAAAGTAACCGGTCATGCTGCTAATAGTGAATTTACTCATAAACATATAATTATATGTATAACTAGCGACCCGCCCTCGCTTCGCTTCGGAAACATTAAAACACACATGAAACCAAAAAAAATTAATAAAAAAAAATTAAAAAAAGTAGCCTATGTTCATCAGGGACAATGTCGGCTTCTAATGGAAAAATAATTTTTCATATCGGTCCAGTAGTTTCGGAGCCTATTCGAAACAAACAAACAAACAAATCTTTCCTCTTTATAATATTAGTATAGATATAATTTTATAGGCAGATTACACAGAGCTTGTGTTATCTGCCTTTAAAATTATAAACACAAAGAAAGATACGTTCTACATACATACCTATCCAATAAAAACTTATGACGACACAATATTGCGGATACAGAATAAGAATTAATGAAATAAATAAACTCGTGGGATAGAAAGGAACAAGTTTTTTGTTACGAGCAATGTAATGCGTACAAAAGTATTTTACGAACGATTCTGGTGCTCTAACAAGTAGTGTATCCTGCTGCTTTCTACTAAATTAATTTCGTATGTACAGTGTGCTTAGTGCGAGTTTTTTAACGTTCTCGATAGCGTAAAAGTTAAATCAAATTTGTATGGATTTGAAACGTTTGCGTACGTTTGCCGCTAGGGGCGCTGTTCCAACTGCATACAAATTTGAATTACTTTTACGCTATCGAAAACGTTAAAAAACTCACACTAAGCACACAGTTCAAAATACAATCTTCGTCAATGTAATTATACAATCGCAAAGTTTATATTATCTTAAATGTTTGCTGTAATAAAAACTTATAACACGATAACAAGCGAAACGAAAATTTATTTATTCTTTATTGGACACACAGTTAATATTACAGTAATTGCGGTAAGATATAAAAATGGCGTGCTTAACTCAACAATTGAGTTTCCTACCAGCTAACCGTTCTTAACGAAGGAAAGCTTTAAATGAGTGGGTAGAAGAATACAATCTAATCAATTTACAATTTACAATCTAAACAATAACAATAATAAAAATAAAAATAATATATCAGACTACATATATACATACACACATAAATCATGAAGATAAATCATCATCATCATAAATTATGAAGAGCATTTAAAATACCATTACTCAATTATGTTCGACCGTACAATACTATTCAAGATCAATTAACAAGCTAAATTACAGCATAAAGACTAAAAATTACATGTAATTGAATATAGTAATCATTTTATCATTGAGAAGTACTTATTACCGACTCACCGAATGATTCAAGCGGCCATAAAACAATTAAGAAAACAATCCTATGTGCTGTACGCGTTCATCACGCGACTGGTGAATGCGAACTACAATTATCATGATAATGCCGGCACATATATATCAATATACGATACAATCAGACGGTCACAATCGATTGCACCTTGTGGGAAAGAAGTGTACGCTCCATATTGTTCCATTGTTTTTTTTTTAATATAGAAAAAAATGCTAAGAAAAATACCAAAAGAGCCATAAACTGATAAAAATAGTGTAAATATAAAAAAAAAGTGTTGAAATGAAGTTGACCGCAATTTGATAGCAATCAGAGTTGAATGGCCAGCTCCTGCTAACAATCTCAAGGTCACATCGAATGTTCGAGTGTAAATGACAACATTGCTTAATGTTTGAAACACTGAGTAATATGCCTGAAGTGCTGCTCTGAAATTAAAACATAAAAAAAAAACACAAAATGGAAATAAAATTTATAATAAAAAAATATACTTTTACGATTTAATCTTGAATATTTGATTGTCATTTTATAATATCCGGCGTTTCTAATACTTAATACTTTGAAAAAAAATATACATTGATACAATATTGAAATGTCGACGAATAGCTCCTGTGACTACTTAACACCAGGTGGGCCCAGAGCTCGTTCACCCACCTAAGCTATACAAAAAAAAATTACTAACATCTTAGTCGTCCGTGACCACAAAAACAGATAGGTAGTATATTCTATAAAACCGAAGAAATTACTAAAATGAAAATATGTAATACATTGAAGTAAAGAAAAATTTTGCGTTCTATATTTTTTCAGTACAACAACATGGAAGTTGGTTATCAATCAGCATTTATTGTTCACTTTGATACTCAAAGTCTTCTGAATGTATTATAATTTATATCTTATTGATACAAATTGAACGTTATTTTGTTCCCACGAGTTCTGCTCATTGTATCTCAAATTTTAATTCTATGCATTTAGTACATAGGTATGTAGTTGTAACATTCTAGAAATTATAACTTTCCTATTTCCTTGTACGTAGTCAACGAGCTTGCAAGTGACTTAAGCGATGGATTCCACCTATGCAGGTTTGTATTCATAGTACAAATCTGATTAAAGAAGTGTATATAAATATTAACATTTTTTTTTATTACTATAGAAGGTTAGAAGTGTTCTACGCTGCCTAGGATTATGTTGTTACTGAATCCAAGGACGTCCCAAAGTAAGTGATAGCACCTTGAAAGATAAGGACGAAGTGTCAATCGCTTATTTTTTTCCTACCTAAGCTGGTAGCCTAGAGAGGCTATTCCAGCGGAACCTTAACTAGTAGGTGAGCTCACGGGGCTCAAACCTGACGACGATGCTAACACGAACCCTAGCAAGAGTCGTGCTTCGCAGAATCTACCACCGGATCGGAAACGCGACCCACTGAGAAGATCCGGCGAGAAACTCAGTGGGCTGTGTCTGAGAGTTAATTTACTCGTCGAGCCCTTCGTCGCAAGCGACGGGTTCGACAAGAACGGTGACCGGTGCTTGAAGTACCTAGAAGCACCGTTAGTGGATCGGGAGGATCCGAGATGACGTGTTTTGGGCGACGTCGACTGCGTTCCATTCTTTCCGCAGGATCGGGAATGATGNGGAACCTTAACTAGTAGGTGAGCTCACGGGGCTCAAACCTGACGACGATGCTAACACGAACCCTAGCAAGAGTCGTGCTTCGCAGAATCTACCACCGGATCGGAAACGCGACCCACTGAGAAGATCCGGCGAGAAACTCAGTGGGCTGTGTCTGAGAGTTAATTTACTCGTCGAGCCCTTCGTCGCAAGCGACGGGTTCGACAAGAACGGTGACCGGTGCTTGAAGTACCTAGAAGCACCGTTAGTGGATCGGGAGGATCCGAGATGACGTGTTTTGGGCGACGTCGACTGCGTTCCATTCTTTCCGCAGGATCGGGAATGATGTCAATCGCTTTATACATAGGTACCTACGTATAATGACTAACCCACCCTTCAATCTCGAAACTGGCCAGATTGCTTCTAGTGCAAGACTGGTTGATTATCAAAACCTAAGAGCAACCTACTTACGCTCAAAAAAGATGATATCATACAGTGAGAAAACATGGGGAATCTCAGTAAACATACCATATTCAAGTTTCTGTATCTATTTAATAAAACTCGTCCGTACAAAGCTGGAAAACCTGTAAATATGTAGAACAAAAAAAAACCTTAAATGTTTATGGTTCTACAATGATTGTAGTTGACCACATTTTATCTTTTGTACTATGTCGTTCAGAAATAAAACAACCCTATCTATTTATAGTGTATGTCTTTATTTACCAACAAATTATTTAAATTATAGTGACAAAAATATACCTAGCCCAGCTTATTGTTATGGTGGTACTGTATTATAAAAGTTAGTTGTTACATTTAAATTTTAATAGTATTAAAAGGGAAATACGAAATCAAAGCATGCATTCAATTACTCTTCGAATATACAGTGACCGACGATAAATATTGCTCATCGACCTTTAGAAAGAAACAATCGGCTAATTTCGGCTTCATAGAGCGCTATCTCTGTCGTACAATCTGACGTTTGCGACAGAGATGCTTTACTATGGAGGCTAGAGGTAAGGAGAACCGTCTCTGTATGTAAAAAGTGCCCGTTAAAATCTGCTAAATAAGGGTGGCGCTACAGTAGCAACCGGGTAAATATAAAAAAGGCGCTGAAAGTTTTTAAACTAAAATAGAGAAATAAAAAAGGACGAAAAAACTGTAAGCAAACTACAAAATCACAAAAAGTATTTTATTTAACGCTTATAAGAAAATGCAATCGATGTCTCCACGTTTTACTACAGCAATAATTTTAGGATAAATTGACGAAATTAATTTGGACAACGTAAACATGTGAGGTCTTGTATATTACACTGTCACTAACTGCTCTAGTCATTATATATATTAAATTTCCTAACTCAACATACTTCAATCAGTTAACAACTGCTCAATTCATATCATACCCTGTGCCTATGCTAGCGCCATTCTGGAGGATTTTTGAACTGTTATTTAGTGCTGAAAGTGGGACACTTTTTTATTTAAGCTTCTCTCATATGAGACGGTTCTCCCTACCTCTACCCTCCATACGCTTTACGAAGCCGAAGTTAGCAGATTTCCCAATTAAAACTTCTAATTATAATACTAACTAAATTAAACTAGTTATCTTAATTTCGTGAAGGTTATAATTTAACTTTGACACGTTTTAATAAACTGTCAAAAATGTCACATCATCAGCTAGACCGCAAATGTTGCGGTACATGGCGAGTTTTACGTAGCCCCCGATACCGAAGTCGGCACCGTAAGAATTGCGCACTATATAGTAGGGTACACTGCCCCGCGCGTTGTAGCCGACTATTTGAACGGCGTGATCCAAAGTGGCTCCGTCTTCACTGCGCCTATACACAGAAAACACATAACTGAAATCTATCTTTGTGCTTAATGCGGGTTTTTTAACTTCTTGTTAGTACCTCTTGTGAGTCCGTACGGGTAGGTACCACCACCCCGCCTATTTCTGTCGTGAAGCAGTAATGCGTTTCGGTTTGAAGGATGGGGCAGCCGTTGTAACTATACTGAGACCTTAGAACTTATATCTCAAGGTGGGTGGCGCATTTATGCTATAGATGTCTATGGGCTCCAGTAACCACTTAACACCAGGTGGGCTGTGAGCTCGTCCCATCTAAGCAATAAAAAAAGGAGCGTTGTTCCAACTCCATCCAAATTTGAGTTAACTTTTACGCGGTCGAGCAGTTAAAAAACTAGCACTTAGTACACTGAAACTAATCAAGCCATAATTTATAAGATCGAATAAAAATTGAAAATGGCAGAATAACGGATACTAAAACAAATCAAATCACACATGGACATCTGGCCCCAAAACAATATACCTGTATTGTGGGAATCAGATAACGAACCTTGCACGGCAATCCTTAATAAGAGACAAAAATCCGTAAAATGTAAAATGGATACCGGAATATTAGCCGAATTATGACGAACTTTCTATCCCTTGAACTAGTCTTAAATATTATGTGTTATCTATGGAAATAGTAAGATTTCAGTCAATTATTGAATGTAAGTGTATGTGATATTTGCGTTTCTTTTCGCACACGAGAAACTAACAATACAATACAATAAAACTACGGGGGATAGAGTAAGGAGCACCATCTTGTACAGGAGACAAGTTGCAAAAGTGTCCATCTGTAAACAGCATATTTCGTTCGAAGACTTCGTGAGTTCGAAGACTCACCGAAATGTCGCTTTTATTACCTACCTAAGCTGATAGCCTTGAGAGGCTATTTCAGCGTAACCTTGGCTAGTAGGTGGGCTCACAGGGCTCAAACCGGAGTGATGTTAACACTGACCCTAGCAAGAAAGTGCTTCGCAGAATCTACCACCGGATTGGAAACGCGACCCACTAAGGAGATCCGGCGAGAAACTCCGTGGGCTGTGTCTATGGGTTCGTTTGCTCGTCGAGCCCTTCGTGCGAATTAACAGTGTAGGAAGTGGAAATGCTTTGAATATAGCAGTTTTAAACAGAGTGAAGTATGCTGGGTTACAGTGAAGTGTGATAGTACATGGCGCGATTTTTTAAATATTTCCTCTTGCTTCTATGGCGTCACCTTATTTAGCTCCGGTCCGTGTGATGATGCTCCTTACTTCTACCCTCCATAAATAACTAGAGTTGCCCCAAATAGTGATTTGGCCGAATGCCGAATATTCGGCAACGCTGTCAGCCCAAGCGCCGAATATTCGGCACAAAGTACATGTTAGTTAGTCGAGCGCGTAAAGAATAATACAACAGGTTGGGACCTGTCTCCATCGTGCGCGGGCGGTGTCCGGGCATTTGACTGTTTCAGGTAGTTTTCCAATTACAGCACAAGAGCGCATTATGCGGCATAATGCGCAACGTTGAATGTTCCAACTACAGTAACGCTTCGCACAATCGAGCACTCTCAAAAGTACCTACTGCTCTCGCGTGATACTCGCAATCGATACCGACTCAGTGACAGAAAATTGACAAGTGTTTTTTCTTTTAAGTTCGCATTGATCGAAATTTTGTTTATATTATCGTTAGTAATATTATTTAATGTTGAAAAAAATTGTAAGGCTTTCGTTTCGTCGTAGTTTCTTAGAAATAATCAATGTGTAAAACTGTGCTAACTTAGCGCACTCTGCTGATGCATTTGAAAACTAATTCACGTTCCAATTAAGCTTCAGCATAATTCGGCATTGTGCGTCACTGAGTCACATTATGCTCTGTAATTGGAAAACTACCTCAGTTGCGAGTAAATCACGTCATTTTTCGGTATTCGGTATTCGGCTGAATAGTACCTATTATTGGGCCGAATACCGAATAGTAGCCGAATATTCGTGGCAAGTCTAAATAAAACAATGAAAATTGCGTTTCTTTTCGCACACAAAGAACTAACACTGTCTCAAGCTAATGACTATTTTTATAGGAAATTGAACGATAGTTAGCATAATATTTCAATATTAAGGAATAACAATTCAGTCCGTGACCACAAAAACTGTAACGCGACCTTAAGCCGTAACGCAGCTTTTAACTTAATATTTATTAGATACACTTACATACAACCGCGCTGGATGATGCCTCCAAGATAATTTATCCAGGGCTGAGCGTTCACCTTGACTATGACGGGTCCATGGTGAGCTATCACACGACGTAAAATATTTTCATCCATAAAACTGTTTAACAAGACATCAACGAATTACAATAGAATTGATTAGAAATCGCAAATTTTATAAAGCTTAGTTCACCATTCTGGCTGATACAATTTAAAAATTTATTCTAGTTTTAACGGGTAGCCGTCTTTACATCCCAAGTTTGGCATTACGCCCGCGGTATCCGTGAACTCAAAACCACAACAATCTTATTGACATATTCAGCTGACCCTGCAATCCGTTTCAGGCAGATAATTATGGTGGATGAGCTCACAGCCCTCCCGGTGTTAAGTGGTTACTGAAGCCCATAGACATCTACAACGTAAATGCGCCACCCTGAGATACCAGTTCTAAGGTCCTAGTATAGTTACAACGGCTGTCCCACCCTTCAAACCGAAACGCATTACTGCTTCACGGCAGAAATAGGCAGGGTGGTGATACCTACCCGCGCGGACTCACAAGAGGTCCTACCACCAGTAAAGCATTTTAGAATAAAAACAAAATTTTGCTTCCGGACCACTCCCTTCAATATTTCTGCGTTTTAATGGAAACCTTACCCACTTGGGCTTACGTTTTTTTATTGCTTAGACCAGTGAAGAGTTCACGTCCAACATAACGTTAACTGTCAACAGAAGCCCCGTAGACTTAAGCACCGTAAATGCCGCCATGCGCTTTGAAACATAAACTCTACTAAGTACTACACAGTACAATGATTGCCCGTCCTTAAAACCAAAACGCATTGTTGTTTCGCGACAGAAATAGGCAAGACGCTGGTATATTAAGCTCCTTACCTGTAATGCCAGTACTCCTTTATCTTTCTGCCCTTAAATGTACTGGAATTGCAATTTCCACGACTTATCCCAAGAGGATAGTTATCTTCTGTGGTAACCACGGTATCATTAATACACATTTCATTCAGAGCCTCCTCGACGTGGCCTTTATTACAGCCCTCACAGACACTAACGCAGTCTAGTAATTCCTAAAACAGATATCATTTTTAAATCAGATTTATTTAAAACTCAAAATTTTGTTTGGGGCCAGGTATACTGAAAGACCCTCAAAGACTCCGTCTGACGGGCGTCCTTGGTTGAACCGCGCGTCTGGTTACAGTGTTGACTGCAGTAAACCCCTTACCCGGCCCGGGGTCTGACCTCGGGGTACATCGGAAGCTTAGGCGAGAGTGCAGGGGAGTCGCTTAATGGGTAGTTCCCAAAATTCCATCCTTAAGCCCGCGGTCCTCTCCTAACACCTGCGGGCCGTCCAGTCCCACATAACCAAGGCCCCCTAGGCGACGACATCGAAGAAAGTTGGACCCCCGGCCCAGAAAAAGAAAAAAAAAGGTTTACCGAAAGACCGGTATTCCATATATCGCGATGCCAAGTATTGTGAACCCGCCCACTAGATGAACTTAATCGCAAAAATTATGAAAACTCAATGAATACGGATTGCTTCAAACCAGTTCCTCTTAAAATTTGTGTACGTACGCTCGTAGCAGTAAACTACGTATTATAAATTTATGAATCAGTAAAACTGACTTATTTCCTGAGTAATATATGTAATTTAAAAACAAAAAACAAAAATCTTACGTTACGGACGTTTTTCCCGGTTAGGGTACCCCTCCGCATCGTCTTATAAGGAACTTCGTTCCAAAACTGAACTAACAATTAATATATTCTTATCCTGTTGATCTCTGTCATGATATTAGAGCAAAGTTATAAATTTATGTATTTTCATCGGTACTTGATGCGGGTACATATTTTCAAGTTAATTAACATGTACTTCTTCAAATGAGTTTTGCGGAGAGCACTCGGCGGTAGGCAACGACTTGCATATCTGACGTTAATGAGCAACTATAACCACTTACCATGACGCGGTACCTATACTCGTCAGCATACTGAGGAAATAAGAAATTATACTAAAATAAAGGCAACCTGTTTTCCTGTCAGCATAAAATGCTTAAATTAGCCAACCTGTATGCTAAGACGTGTGTAATTCATTTTCTGTTTTACAGCCATAGACTCCATGGTTTCAACTATGCTGTATGCCCAACAGCCATTGCAATTTCCTTGATTCAAAACAGGTCCGATCATTCCCTCTTCTCGCCTTAAATAATCATGTTTTGACAGATAAAACTTGATTCTATTTTTAAATTATCTCTCTGAATATGATAACCAAAAGACCGTGCAGCAAAATCAATTTCTTTCGGAGTACACGACATCATGGCTTAAAATAACAATAGTGGAAATTTTGCTCCATTTTTAATAGAAAATAACCCTTTACCATACTGTTCGTAATAAACTAATTGACACACAATAATTGAAAACACAATAAATCCCTTAAGGAAATGACGTATTTATTTATTGTGTAGGTGGAAAAAATACAATTATATGCCAGTTAACATATTATAGACAATATTATTTCCAACGCCAGTAGTATCAACATTTAAGAAATTTGCATTTCAATAATTATTCTTGCATTCAAAAACAATTGATTTTAACGCATGGTATCTTTAAACCAAGTTCAATTCTGAAATTTGATTGAATATTTACAATAGAGTGTATGTTATAGTTCAATTAGATAAATTTTCTTTATAAAATTCTTAAATTGCTACCGTCGTTGATGAGCAATTTCAGGACTCAACACTAGTCACTGCATGTACTTCGAAAACTACGAGCCTGCTTCAGATAAGTCTATACTCACCAATCCTTATAGTCCGGTAGGTCTTCCGAAAATAAATTGTCAGTGGCTAAATTCTGGTAAATTTTACCGCTGCAATTGCTATACGTGTTTTTTAAGCGCGGCGCTATACGAGATCGAGTAATGAACCGTCGACGTATTTCCGCCTGAGATCGATCCGATAATACAGATAGACCATAAACGGCTCCCGTTTCTCGATTCTTTTTCGCGATATCCACCAAAGCTGCCTGCCGATAATACGAATTTTATTTTAGCCAACGCAATAAAATAGCGGGAAAACATGTTCGTAACTTGGTTCAAAACAATACTAAACGTGACTCACAAGATTACCATAACAACAAATAATATAGAACACAACATGTGAGGAAATCAAATACATACGTTACTAATCGCTAAAGAAGTAAACAAGTACAAAAAATTATATAAATAGCATTTTTTGGCATATCGGTATTGGTATGTATTTATGTAAAATGCTATGTACAGCGCAACGTTGGGCGTCCCCCTGCCCGTTGGACCGATGACTTGCGGCGATATGCTGGGAGAGATTGGATGCGGAAGGCGGAGGATCGTTCATTGTGGCGGACTATGGGAGAGGCCTACACCCAGCATTGGATAGATACAGGCTGATGATGATTATGCTATGTACATTTATATTTTTGTATCAAATATGTTGTTTCAAACGGTAAGACCATGGGACTCTATTTCTTCCCTATAATTATCTCTTAGCGATGAGTCGCTCGTTGTAGGATTTTTATTCAGTAATTAACAATTATGTACTAGTAGTACATTAACAGATCCACTCACGTAATTTCAACGGTAAACTAGACCACGGAAAAACAAAAGAAAAAAAAGAAAAAACTCTGTCATACGAAGAATGCAACTGTGCGTTTATAATATAATTGAGACACAGTATTCGCTGTGCTTAGTGCGAGCTTTTTAACATTCTCGGTAGCGTAAAAGTTAACTCAAATCTGTATGAACTTGGAACGTTTGCCGCTAGGGGCGCCATTTGCATTACACGCATAGTGTAATATTTGAAATTCACTATATTATACACTACTAATTTTATCTATTTAATACAAAATAGAGAAACATGTAAAAAATATATTTGTACTGAAACAATAGAAAAAATAAAAATAAAAAACTTACCCTGAAATATTTCAATCGTATTTTGTATTCTGCTTCGGTGTAACTCTTGTTAAATTTCTTTAAATACGCATCGAATACTTTAGACGTGGGAACGTTTTCAAAGTGTTCATTTTGATCGAGTTCCCTCGTAAAAACAACGTTTAATATTAAAACACCACATAGGATCAAAATTAAAAAAGACAGGGGCACTACAAATTTTAATGTATTTCTGTTCATTTTATAGTTGCTTATATTTCAACTATAAGTCACTTAATGAACATAACAGGATAATTTGCAAAATTAATACGACTATACGTGTACAATCATATACCTATGTACATGAAATACATGAAATTAATAGATTAAATGGGGAGGCTTATGTCTAACAGTGAACGTTTGTGGTCTGAAAAAATATATGAAATATTAATTAAAATGAACTATCATTTCAGTTTTTTTTTTCACTTTACATTATTATTATTACTATTAGCGGGAACGTGAGCGGCGAAAATGTTTTTTTTTTGTTCATTTGGTTTCTCCAGATTAAAATGTGTAATAACGGTGGTTTATTAACTGTTAGGTATCAGTGAAAGTTCATGTGTGAAAGATGAAGGAAAGTGCATGAAAGTACGTATTTGCATGTTAAGAAAATGTGAAAAAATTAAATAAAGTTGCTGAACATAACTTCATGGGTTCCTTTTAACGGTCCACTGAAAAAAAAAGTCAATAAATAACCATCATTACTATGACTATATTTTATCCCGTTTCATCCCAATCGATTAGTCGCAAATTTATCAACTTCATATCATTTTCCATATTATAACAGAATATATGTATGTATTATACATATATAAGACTTGGCTTAAAGGTCTCGTATCCAGGCCATAAAATTATATAAAAAAAGGTAGTTGGACTGAGTGAAGTCGCTTCATTGGTTTTGTATTGCAACATAATTGCAACGAACTGAATTTATTAATATTGTCCGGTGTTCGTGGTCTACGTGATTTTTCTGGTCTAATGTGTTGTGTCAGCATATCATTTTGCAAAGAACCGTTAACCGTAAACTCCCCCCAATAGAGCAGCATCAAAAAATATAAATAATAAAACATTTACATAATTTTTTATAAATCCATTTATTGAACATTTCTTCATACGGTTTCAATATATGTATAATATGCAAAATATGAACTTGACCTTATTAAAATAAATGAGTAAATGTATATAAAAATTGCTTTATGAAACCGCTTATTTACAATCACAGTATTTGGCAAGGTTTTATGGCTTTAAATTCGTATTTATAATATATTCTTTTATAAAGGCACTTTAATAACAAATAACAATACAATTAAAAATTATTAATCTAAAATGGTCCCACCTTTAAATTGCCTAACTTAATCCATCATTAAACAATACAGGACAAATCACCAACGATCATTTGGCCCTAAGCTAGGATTTCCTTTACAGAACCAGCACATATACATACATAAATATACAATTATATTTATACATATATAAATTCATTTACATTTTCACTTCAAAGCATTTATGATTAATAAAAGTCCATGTACTTTAATGATCTCAGGTCGCATGAATTATAAAACATGTCAATTTCATTAAAATCGTGGCAAGAAAACGTTAACTAAAAGAGTTCATAATTATTTAATTATTTCGAAAAGTTAAGAATTATTACTCATTTCAATGTGAAATAAAAATTAGCTGCATTTAATGACACTTTAAAACAAATCTTCGCAACAAATTTTAAATATTAAATATGTGTCATGTTAGATTACAACTTATATTATAATGTATCATTATTCATATTATGGCAACATAATACATGACATAAACAGTTTAGTAAGGTACGATTTGGAAAAACAACTTAACAAAATTTAAAGTAAATTTTACAAAAATAAGCCTTATCAACATATGTGTTTATGTAATGCATAATAGAAATGCACTGTGTAATTGATATTAAAAAATTTGAAATACTTGAAACTAATTATTAATAATCGAGTCCCGAAAATGTTTGTGATTTTTTTTCAGTAAAAATTTAACAATACAAAAATATCCAGACACGCGGGTTCACGACCTAGTGCGATGCGGGGAGCTAGCTGCCTCCGTTTCAGTAAGCTGATTGACGAAATCTGAACTTGTTAGACTAGTATTTACTCTCAACTTGGCAAACTAATTACAATCGTCATGTTAGTACATTCGTATTGAGCTTTAGAAATGATTACCCTACGCCCCGTGAACATTTGTAAAATATATGTAATATCAACAAATAAATCTTAACATTAAAAATACATACATAGATTAGGACGGAGTATTTATTGTCTTAATTTTTAGACTTTAATATTTTAGCTTTTATACTCTGTAATCGATCTAAAGGCGGTCCCTAGATCTAGCGATTACAAAGATCTTTAAACATAACAATCACCCATATTATTAAAACTAACATGGTATTCGAAAATGGTTAACAAAAATAACTAATTGCCTCATTTATATTTAAATCTGCGGTATCTGTTAATAAATGTCAAATATGTCAACGTCAACATACGTCACAACTTATCATAGATCACAATACAGATATCGGCAAATGGAAACCCAATTAGCTGGAAGTAGAGCATTAATTTCTCTCCTACGCTAAAACTATTACATAATTTTACAAGTCATGACAGACTTAATTATACAAAATGAGTATCCTTATTTGTTATAGAGAGAACGACGTTTACAAATTACTATTACAACAAAAACTATTAAATTATTACCTAAAAAAATGGTCCCAATTGTTCGAATTCCTTTATGTAATGAAAACTATTTTATAGAACGTCTACGGTCGCGACTTCGTTGGCCAGACCACAAATGTTGGTGCCCACGGCCAACATCAGATAGCCACCGTTTCCGTAGTCGGCACCCCACGAGTTCTTGGCGATGTAGTAAGGCACTTCGGCCGTCAAATCGTAGCCAACAAGTTGGACCGCGTGATTCAAGTCAGCCGGTGCACCGCTGGAAAAGAAAAATACGAGATTTGCATTCAGGATAAAAGGTAGCGCGTCTATGTCACTATGCTGTCAATCGTTTCGAAGTGAAAGAAGGACAAACAAACACATTTTCACGTTTATAATATTAGTATGGATTTGTGACTTTGGTAGAGTACACGTACTACTTGAGAAAACATCAACCAAATCATATACAAATCTAAAGACGAAATGTGAAGCGCGAAGGTTTTGTTATCAGAATAAATAATAACTGGGTATAGAGTAATAGTAATCAGAGGGTAATAGGAAAGAATGATGGTGATGATGGGTATAGAGTAATATTATGGGTAGGTACCACCGGGCTTCGTATTTCTGCCATAAAGCAGCAATTAATTCCCAATTTAAAGGTGGAGACAGTTGTTATTTTTTACTGTTGAGACTTCTACCTCATGTCTCACGGTTAGTGTCGGTATTCATGCTGTCAATTGTGTCACTTGTCAGAATAAAGCAAATTTGCTTTTAAAGCGAAAATAGAACGCCATGTACGCGTTGAAGTGTCTAGAGGGTTTTATCGTGGAGCTACGAGGTGGTATCTATTTCAGTCAGCAATGAAACAACATTAATGAGGAGTCGATACCAAATATTAAACATTAAGAGATGTTAAATTACGATCGGCTCTATAGATTCTCTGTTATACGAAGCGCTAACAGTGAGACACCTATATAGCTGTAAAACAATTTTTTTTTATTACTTTTTTGGCTGGACCAGCTCACAGCCCACCTGGTGTTAAGTGGCTACTGGAGCCCATAGACATCTAGAACGTAAATGCGCCACCCACCTTGAGATATAAGTTCTAAGGTCTCAGTATTGTTACAACGGCTGCCCCACTTTTCAAACCGAAACTGCTTCACGGCAGAAATAGGTGGGGTGGTGGTACCTACCCGTGCGAAATCACAAGAGGTCCTACCACCAGTTATGTTACTTTTCGATATTCGATTTATTGTCAGTTAAATACTTCCTAACGCCTATGAAAAGAACTTTGATAACATACAGACGAGTCTATATAAAACATGATTGTGAAACAAGCGCATATCTAAGCTTCTATTGTTGTCGAGTATTATACCTACAAAAATAGAACGAATTATAATCTGAACTATTAACCTGCAATGATACTGTATGACTCCGCCGAGATAATTCTGCCAAGTTAGGGCGTTGACAGCGACCGTGACCGGGCCGTGTGTGGCCAACGCTTCCAATATCTTCTCCTCTGCACCGACGAAACTGAAATTTACATATACATAATCACATAACTACCAGTATCGATAGTATATCGCGTAAGGCGAAAATGAATTAGCAAATTTAGTTTTTTTAAAGTAGAGATAATTTCTTATGGGAGGGTAAAGCGCTTCGTTACGTAACGCGTTACGGCGCCAGTCTCTCTGGCGTCCCTTTCTCGCACGCAGCAGCGCTACTGCGAACGTATGTAACTCCTAACTATTTATATATATTATTATTTTTTGCAATTTATGTTACAATCTTCCTTACGTTATCATTTTAATATACATAAAACCTAAATAATAACCCAAGCTTTTATGTTAAGCAATTCCAATATTAAACGGTTCAACTTAGTTATCACTTTTGTCGGCCGTCTCGAGACGCAGTTTTTTTTAAAGATTTCTTAGAATGTTTTCGTTGATTGGCAGCACTGTGCAACACGATTGATAACTTGGGGACTTTTTTCTTGTTTTATTTTGTCTATTTAGTGTTTTTTCAGGTTTAAATGTGTAATAATGGTGGTTTATTAACTGTTTAACGTCTGTGAAAGTGCACAAATGTGGGAAAATGAAACAAAGCTGCTGAACGTAACTTCTCGAGATTCTCCAAAAAGTCCACTGAGATAATCTCAGTAAATAACCACAATTTTATTGAGATTATATTTCATCCCATATCATCTCATCTCATTTCATTTAGTTGTCATATCATTCCAGTTGATTAACGTCTCAAATTAATCATCTTCATTTAATTTCATATTATCATCTTTCATAAAAATAAGAATATAAATTAAAATAAGACATGACTTAAAGGTCTTAATTACCAGGTCATAATCTATATATATAAAAATGGATTGCTGTTCGTTAGTCTCGCTAAAACTCGAGAACGGCTGGACCGATTTAGCTAATTTTGGTCTTGAATTATTTGTTGAAGTCCAGAGAAGGTTTAAAAGGTTGATAAATATGAAAATGATCGGAATTAAATAAAAATAACAATTTTGTTTACCCTTTGATGTGTTCCCCGTCGGACGGATTCTTTTTGTTTATTTTATGTTTATTTTATACAAAAGTTTAGGTCTTTTATTTATCGATTGAGGCACTACGAAGTCTGCCAGGTCAGCTAGTATCCCATAAAAAAAATAACTTGGTGCCCTAAAGGTCTAGGATACCAGACCATAAACTCCTAATAAGAAAAAAATGATACCTTGGGCTTCAGTATTTCTCAAAATTACAATTTTGCATCCGAGAATGTGAAATAATGAAACAAACTCGCTGGACGTGATTTATCGGGTTCTTCCAGCAAAAAAAAAAACACTAGAGTCGCTGGAAACTCCCGCTTTTAATGTAATACTATTAAAAATATTATACAACTCACTCGTCACAAGTAAAAGTGGATATTCGCACGCCGGTCGCGTTCTTAGTGGCCTTGCAAGCGCCACTCATGAGTCGGAGCGGGTAATCTTTCTCGTGCTGTATAGCCGTGTTGGTTATGGTCAACCAGTCTAGTAAAAGACAAATGTCGCCGCCCGCGCATCCGCTGTTGCCTAGACCGGCGCAGTCAATCACTTCCTGCAATACAATCCGTGAACTCTTTTTTTTACCAAGAGACTATTTTAGCTTCTCCTTAACGTGTAGGTGAGCTCACGGGGCTCAAGCCGGAGTGTTACTAACACTGGCCGTAGAAAGAGCGGTGTTTCGCAGAATCGACCACCGGATCGGAAAGCGACCCACTAATAAGATCCGGCGACAAACTCAGTGGGCTGTGTCTGTGGGTTAATTTACTCGTCGAGCCCATCGTCGCAAGCGACGGGTTCGGCGAGAACGATGACCTTGAAGCATACGTCATTATAGTAGGGGGCACTGGGAAAGCGGTTGGGTTTTTAGCCAATAGGGATCCATTACACCTCTGACTCGATTGAACACACAGGAAATGGTTGCAACCGCCCCATCTGATACCCGATCCTTTCTGAAAAGTGTTACCTTTTTCTGATTGCTTAAATGAGTGGACGAGCTCACAACCCACGTGGTGTTCAGTAGTTACCAAAGACCGTCTTGAGAAAAAAAAAAACATCCATCCTTCAAACCGAAACGCAATACTGCTTCACACACACAAAACGCTCAGAAAACTTCCTATCACCAATAATTACGATAATTCAAATACCTGCACACTGAGTGGCATTAGAGTGCCAGTCTTGATGGCTTGCATAGACTCGATAGTGCCAACTGTACTGAACGCCCAGCACGCCCCACATAGACCCTGGTCTCTTACAGGTCCTATAACTCCTTTCGTTCTCCTAAAATTGTAATTCATAATTGGTTGTAGCAGTACAGCAGTAGAGAACTTGAGTATGACACCTGGCATAGCTAATGTCCATGAGCAATAGTGACTATGTACTTATAATCAAGCAGGCCGTAGAATCGTCTGCCTGCTATGGCAAGAATAATAAAATAAAATAAATATTTCTAGCAATTTAGTTTACAGATGAAAAGTTTTCAACTAAGACAGAGAACACTTTTTTTTTTTCGAAACATAAAAACTGCCTGCTATCTAAATCTTTAAACCTTATGCCGGAACCACACTGCGCTATTCGCTATTCGTTATGCGGGCTATTCACGCGCATACGGCGAAGTGTGGAGAGTATATTCGCCAATATTCGCTTTATTCGTACGCATAACACATAAGGACGAATAGCAAATACGCGTATCCGTCGACTTGTCGGTTTTTTGACACACTTCAAAGGACACGAATAAGGCGAATATGCGCATCGACTGCCCACACTTCGGTGTGTCATTCGCTCGCTTGTGAGTTGTGGCAGTCGTGTATCGACGTGTCTTATGACTTGTAATCATCCACCAGCGTTTTCTTTTCGGTCTTTTAGTAACTTTGTACAACAAGTATTGGTAAGAAACATTTAGGAAATAATTAATTACGGCAACTCTCAACACGTCCATCGCTCCACGCAAACAAGACACATATTTGCCTTATTTGGCATAATTCAGCGCACAGGTTCGAAGTGTGGATGACATGTTTGTTGTTTGCGCGCTTAACAAATATTTTGGGGAATACGGCGTAGTCACGTAACGAATAGCGCATAACGCAGTGTGGTTCCAGCATTAAGTAATGCATTACGAGAACCCTAAGGAAGGGTTAGGATACATGTAACATTGATAGCCTTTACAGTGGGATTACATGATAAGTAGGTAACAAAAGGTACCCAGCCGAAATAGGATCCATTTCGCTTCTTAGGTAGGCGTATAGCGCGTGCTTCCCTAAAATGGTTATTGATTCTAATCGTTTCAGAATAACTTATTTTTTAAGTTGGTTTTGTACAATGACATCATCAAATGAGGTTCTTTAACACATTATGCGCGAAAAAGACAATCTCCTTGTCAATACGATCAAAATAAAGCCTCTGTTGTACGCTTTTATAAGAGAGGCCTACAAAAAGAATATCATCCACCAGGTGATTTTATTAGATCAATCAGAACGTTATTCGGCACTAACATATGCAAATTTTCTCCAAACTATCGTTGGCGTGATTCGGGTTTTTTGATTGGATACTTTTAGATGGCAGACAGAATACCGCTACACTTCCATCACGGAATTTTATTAGCCGATTCGTAAACTTTTTTTAAAATACATTTTATATTTCTTTTAAAATAGCGGTATTTATTTATCTAAATATACGCTTAGCTACGACTTTTCGCTTAAATAAACTCGACATTATTTAATTACACCACTTATTTACATAGAATTAAAAATATATTATATAGTATATCAGATATTTTATTAAACCGCATAACGTAAATTTCGACAGCATGTAAATTAAAAGTAAAATTATAAAATTTAACAATTAGAATTTGATTTGGTCATAATATTTGCTTGTATTCTTTTGTGATAGAAGTGACATTCGAAATTTTAATAATGTGAGGACATCGTGATAGTCAAAAGAAACAAGTCTTTAATCGTAAAATAATCATTTCTAATTTATTTTATAGTTTACTCGTATTCGACAACAGGTTTGGGCGCAGACCGGTTTTTTATTACATCGACGCGGAAACTGGAATTCTTGTTCACAATTATATTAGGTACTGTTATAATTTGGTTGTATGTTGTCTATTTCTAACACAAAGAGTGTATTATCAACCCGCAAGGTTAGGTTAGGTTAGGTTAGTTAGGTAACACCACCCTGCCTAATTGTGACAATGCAATCGTACGGCCCTATTGGAGGGTGGTAGGACAAAATTTATACTTTAGAATTGTAAACTTCATCCTCATGTCTAAAGGTGACTTATTACTAAAAAGCCATGACCTCGTTCGACTTATGTAACTATTATAATTTGGTTATATGTTGTCTATTTCTAACACAAAGAGTGTATTATCAGCCCGCACGGTTATTAGGTAACACCACCCTGCCTATTTCTGCGACAAAGCAATCGTACGGTCCTATTGGAGGGTGGTATACATTACAATTGTGAACTTCATCCTCGTGTCTCAAGGTGGCTTATCGCTAAAAAGCCAAGACCTCTTTCGTCCACCTATCTAATGTTTTAAAAAGATCTCAAGACCGAGTCACTAGGACAATAAAAATATATATTGTTATTATATTATTTAAATAATTTGCATTCATGGTTTAAATTATTAAAAATAAAGCCCTGAGGTTTGTTTACGAGAATTATACCTGTTATTGGTTTAAGGATCTGAGAAAAGTAATTAATCGGACAAACTAAGTAGGAAATTAATATTTTAATAATAATTAAACCAATTATTTGAGGTTTGTTGTGTTATATAATAGTTTTTGAAAAAATCACCCATTGTCTTTTTAAAGTGGATGAAATTCACGTGATCATTTAAGTTCGGTTTTAATCAGATACATTATTAAATAAACAAGAAAACAAGTTTCGATGTCTCTCAAGACTTGTAATATATTCAAATTTCGACAAACGACACCTTGGTAGATAGCTCAGATACACTTCTGTAATTGTGATATAAAAGTAATAAGCCTGAAATTCGAACGTAGGATCAATTCTCTTAAACATGTTTAACTCAACTCATTGAAATCGTTAATTGAATGCCTTTTACAATTATTAATTTACTAGCGACCCGCCCTCGCTTCGCTTCGGAAACATTAACACACATGAAACAAAAAAAAAATTAAAAAAGTAGCCTATGTTCATCAGGGACAATGTCGGCTTCTAATGGAAAAAGAATTTTTCAAATCGGTCCAGTAGTTTCGGAGCCTATTCGAAACAAACAAACAAACAAACAAATCTTTCCTCTTTATAATATTAGTATAGACAATTAATGGAAAACGTAGTTTAACTCTGTTGGTATATTGCCTGAAGCCGCCTGGCCCGATGTTTTTTTTATTGCCTGTGTAGGCAGACGAGCATACGGCCCACCTGATGGTAAGTGGTTACCGTCGCTCATGGACGACAGAGCGTCGACGGTAGAGCCAAGCCGTAGCCTACAGGTTTGGCATGAAATACTATGATAACAATTACAGAAGTTAGACAACGTCCACAGGGACCTATTATTCCTCAATGTACATTGCCATGACTGTATTTCGCAGAAACCTTGCGAAAAAAAATACCATTTTATGTCACGTTCTAATATTAGAACGAAGTTCCTTATGGGACGACGCGGAGGGGTACCCTAACCGGGAAAAAACGTCCGTAACGTAAGATTTTTATAATGCACACAGTGTACGGCTTAACTTTGTAATAACGTACAAAAAATAATATATTTTTTATCATTCATTGACCACGATCTCAGAGCGTTTGTTTGCGCAATACACTAACTCTTATGCAAACAACCGTGAATGAAGTGTACCACAATAAGTTCGCACGTTACCGACTGAACGTGGGTTGTTGCAAAACCTCCAGTTTTATTTTCTTTATACCTCGAATAAAACTTAAAATTAATATTTTTATAAGGAACTTCGTTCGTATCCGGTGTCCCACGACATCACACATCTTTTTGTTTTTAAATTGCTTTTCGGGTAGTGAAGCATGCGAATCATCTTGCTTGGTAGTTACCGAAACGCTTACACGTCAGTCAGTCTGTAATTAGAAGATAAATCGGATACGCCCTGACAACTACGCTAAATTTTTTTATTGCCGTATAGGCAGACGAGCATACGGCCCATTTGATGGTGAGTGGTTACCGTCGCTCATGGACGTCAGCAATGCCAGAGGCAGAGCCAAGCCGCTGCCTACCGTTTAATACTCTCCACAAGCCTCGTTACTACGCTACTACGATCTTACCACAAGTCTTGAACCTATAGACACAGATTATTATATAATATAGATAATCATATTATTACCACTATTATGCCTATTTCTGTCATGAGGCAAGAATGCGATTCGGTTTGATTTATAAGATTTGCCGTCATTCCACTACTAGTTAAAGCGACATGTGTGGGTGTAATTTGACTGTATTTATATAGCTAAATCTTGGTCTGTATCTAATTGTGTAGTACGAATATAATTAATCGTATTCAATTTTTTTAATTTGAATTTAATTCCTTTTCTAAATTAGACCAGTATTTGAAGTAAAATATAAAAAATAAACTTTATTACTACGTCACAAACACTCCGAACGCAACATACGTATTATCTCTATTGCGTCGGAGCAATGGAATGTCTATGTTAAGCATACAACATCATAAAAAAATGAAATTTAGATATTGTCCAAAAAATATGTCGCATATTACCTACCATGCGGGATTCATTTTAAATGAAAGGACTACTACGTTAAAACTGAAAACTTCATACTTTCTTTCCTGCTACTAATCAAGTTTATATCATTAAAACTAGTAACAAATTCAAAATAGAGTAAAATAATCAATATTATTATGCCAGAAATATAATTTCGACAAATGATATAAATATAATCATATATAATCGTATCTATAAGAATAATCTATAAATATTTTATCTTTCTACCAAGTGTCACACTGTGTTACACATCCACATAGACATATGACAACAAACAAATATAAATCATCCTAGTGTAGATCTTGATATGTAATTTAAAACCAAATGAGAACTTAGTAATGCCCCTGACTGCAAGGATAACTGGCTAATGAATCCTAAATTAAACACAACAAATTCTAACATATGAATATTATTAAAATATCTTTTAAAAAACAACTTTTACATCATAAGTGTTGATGTGGAGAATAAAAATCACTATGCAAAAAAAGCAGCAAACATTTGACGCTTAAAGTCACTATAAAACAAAATTACTTACAATTTCAAATTCATTATACTCAAATTTTTATTAATATCATCATCATCATAGCTGATGACTTTCCTCCTAAGGTTCGCCATATTGGCTAGTTATGTACTTCTCTATGTTCAACAGATTCTCTTAACCTTCAACAGGTTATCAGTCTTTGTGCGAAGCCTACCCTTGCTACACTTTCATGTTTTGTCACCACCCGAGCACTAATAAGTATAAGTTAATTAATGTTTTCTAGATGACTGTCTGATGTTTTTTTACCCAAAGTCTACTTGTTCTGCAACCACTGACATAAAATTACAATGATTTTTTTTTTATTTATAAGTTACCACAATTTTATGTGGCTCTTATAGGTAGACTGGCAAAAGTGTTATTCATAATAATTTGTCAAACATGTCAGCACTTTAACACACATAGAGATACTGAATTAATTGTTAAAAGACAACATTAAGTATACTTGACGTTCCAGTAGCTATAGTGCATATCTTTTAAAAACACTAATTTCACACATTTTGTTCTGAATTTACAAAATTTCGACAAATACTAAAAAAATGATAAACAGAATCCAACATTTATTTCCAATCTTGAAATACTGAACCTTGAAGTCATTGACTTAGGGCATTGGCATAAAATACAATTGGATAAAAATATCAACAGAAAAACAGTCTTATAGTAACTTCACTTTATCAATTATTAAAAACACTTATATTTGACCACTTTTTATTTTCATGAATCAATAAATAGTCTATAATTTTCAAAAGAGCTAATAGGCATAAAATGATGGAAAACAAAAACTGCGAAGTGTTTTTTACTGAAGTCTATGAGTACAACTATCAAAAATAAGATTGTTAATTATCTCAGGAATAAAAAAAATCTCAAACAGAAGATCCTTTTGCCTGCATTGAAAAAAGTTTAGTTGTGTGCATAAAGATAGTGATATCGATCAGCCCATACTAGTTCACCAAAATAGTAGAGATTCAAATATAACATATTTAAGTTAAGGCACAGGGGTTTCCAAACATAGGGATCAGAGGGTATAGCGTAAAACTGATATAATATTATATTATACATTAAGTAAACACTGAAAACTCATATTCAATTTTGAAAAATCTCTGTGATTTAAATGCTATGATGCCTTAAAAGATATTTAATGACTGAAGTGTTTTTTTAAAACACTATAAATATCAATTAAAATATAATTTCATTTTTAAACATTTCAGGAATGAGGTGTCAAGATTTTCTTATCTTCCCTGACACAGAGGTGGTAAGTCTAAAATTATTGAAAGTTTTTCAGACATCCATATGTTGGACAACATAAAATGTTAGCAGTTTATAGATTCTCCTAACCTCATAGGACTAGGTGGTAAAAAAAATATGCTAGTAATAAAATTATTTTAATGCATAGATAGGTGAACACATGAGAACACAAAAGCTGCCACACATTTTGTGGCATAAGTTCAAAGTTCAAATGATTTTTAGAATAAATGTTTCTTTTATTGCCATTATAGGCATGAGGATATCGACCACTAGATGATAAATGATTATTATCACTCATGGACATGAGCAACACCAGGGGTACATGCCAGTCACGCCGAACTACTGCGTACTCTCAACAAACTTTGTTTAAAGAAAGACAATAAAGTTACACCATTTAAACCTGAATGTAGAGCTGCATTACTACTGAAATAGGCAGGCTGAATTTACAAAAGCTGATATTTTTATTTATGCTCTCAACATACTTTTTTAATATTTGAGTCGTCTATTATCAAAGGTGGCAATCTGTGCATTTGGACAAAAAAAATTATTCATATGTCAATACAGATTGATTTGAATATAATTGTCTCCTTCAAAGAATACGGTTCAAAACCTGCATTAAATAAAGGTTAATAGTTAACCTGTTATTTGTCTAAGATGTCGTTCAGAAGAGTTTTGTGACTGCCAATGGAATACAAAGTCAATAATTCGTTTTTCTGATTTACCAATAATTGTCCAAAAGTCACATTGCCTGCTTTGATAATAGTCGACTCATTTATTCAGTACAATTTTCAAGGTTCTACAAATAAATAAAAACTCACCAATCGACCTTCAATGGAAGAGTAGCACGTTTTTTCCTAATTATTACATAAACATTATTATGAGGTTCATTTGCACATGGCGTTCTATTTCTCTGGTGGCTGCTGTGGGGTGTATCATTATCATCATTTCCAACAGTATTTTCAGGTTTCTGATCTCTGAACTTGCTCCAACTCTTGCCATACAAATGAGGTGATTTCTTAAGTCTCTCATCTGATAAGTGAATCTCTTTGTATTCGAGCTTGGACATATCCGAGATTCTGGTTAAACCATATCTGGCTCTGTGCTCCTCAGGGCCACGCGCAGCCGCATTTAGTTCTTCAATTTCGCGCACAGATGCCTAATTTTTTCAACAAAAAGCACAGTTAGTGATTGAAGGTATTGCATGTTTCAAGTGTTTTATTAGTTTTCGGTGTGAACNATCTGATAAGTGAATCTCTTTGTATTCGAGCTTGGACATATCCGAGATTCTGGTTAAACCATATCTGGCTCTGTGCTCCTCAGGGCCACGCGCAGCCGCATTTAGTTCTTCAATTTCGCGCACAGATGCCTAATTTTTTCAACAAAAAGCACAGTTAGTGATTGAAGGTATTGCATGTTTCAAGTGTTTTATTAGTTTTTGGTGTGAACCGGCGAGGTGTTACAAAAGTAAAGTAAAAGGATTTTTTCAAAGATACTCACCACAAAATGTTCAAATCTCACTGCGTATTCATCGGGTTTATTTTTGTAACTTTTATTATACTTTTGAATATATTCATCAAACATCGGCTTTAACTCTTCTTTGCCTTTTTGATTGGACAACGTAAGAGGAACAGCTACGAATAATAAACAAATCAAAGCAAAACCGAGTACCCAGTTCCACCATTTTTTCATTTTGTAGAATAATTATAATTAACACACGAATTAATATAAGTTCATTGGCCGAGCTTAGGATCAAAATCTAATTAGTAAAAAATTTGTGGTAATTATTAGAGATTGATTTAAGTTCAACAGTTGTTGTTTCAAGTTTCAATATTTGTTTATTAATAATTACTGCACACTGCACAGTTTCGTAATTCGCTGCGGACGGAAGGAACTATGTACTGAACTACTGAGTAAAAAAACAACTACGGTAACAAATTTTAATAAACAAACTTGTGAGTAGTTGTGACTTGTGAGTTGGGCGCGAAGGTGAACTTTAATTTTTTAAGGGATTTTATGACCTGGGAACTAAGACCTTTAAGTCATGTCTTATTTTAATTTATATTCTCATTTTTATGAAAAATGATAAAATGGAGTGAAATGAAATGAAGATGATTAATTTAAGACATTAATCAACTGGGATGAAGTTAAATAACATGAGATGATATGAGATGGACTTTTTGGAGTATCCCGAGAAGTTACGTCCAGCGGCTTTATTTCATTTTTCCACATTTGTGCACTTTCACAGATATTAAACAGTTAATAAACCACCATTATTACACATTTAAACCCGAATAAACACTAAATAGACAAAATAAAACAAATCACACAACTTCACTCCTTGCGTTCCCGCCAAAAAGTCCTGAACTTTAATTTTAATCATATGCACCATTAGTTGATACACTTAATATATAATATGCACCATGTAACCGTACCATGGAGTTAATAAGTACCCTCTATGAACCGTACCTACTGCTCAAGTGCTTAAATACTAAGTATATTATCTATGATACTGACCCATAAATTTCAACGGACTTTTCATTTTTATAAAAATAGGAATATAACCTAAAATAAGACGACTTAAAGATCTTAGTTACCAGGTCACAAATCACATAAAAAAAATTCAACTACTTTTTGGCGGGAACGCGAGGAGTGAAGTTGTGTGATTTGTTTTATTTTGTCTATTTAGTGTTCCTTCAGAATTAAATGTGTAATAGCGGTAGTTTATTAACTGTTTAACATCTGTGAAAGTGCACAAATGTGGGAAAATGTAACAAAGCCACTGGACGTAACTTCCCGGGATGCTCCAAAAAGTCCAGTGAAAAAATTTCAGTAAATGACCACAATTTTACTGAGATTATATTATTTCATCCCATATCATGTCACCTCACTTAATTTAATTTCATCCCAGTTGATTAATGTCTTAAATTAATCATCTTCATTTCATTTCATTTCACTCCATGGTATGTATTTTTCATAAAAATAAAAATATAAATTAAAATAAGACGTGACCTAAAGGTGTTAGTTGCCAGGCCATAAAACACTTTTAAAAAAAATTACTTAAATTAGACAAATGTTGTCTATAAATATTGCCTACCATTAAAACAACAATAGAAATTTACATTATTATTACCTAGTTTTATTTTAAATTAAATCAATTTATAGATGTGGTAAGTGCTGAACTAATTGAGAACGACAATTTTTCGTTTCATCTTGTTATAGCTTATATTCTTTTCTGTATCGCTATTGTGTCTTAATTCCTAGTTCCAATACTCTACCAAAAGAGTTTGAGAAGAAATCTGAGGTATTACCTTTTACTAAATATGGATTGTCTTCTATCGAAGAATTCAGTCGGGCAGAAGAAGAAGTGCGGCATTTAGAGTTACTGAAAAAAGCGGGTTTGACTACTGACGAGATCAAACTATATCAAGAGAATGAATGTGGTAAATTGAATCAGCAAAATAAAGTTGAGACGGGTGTGTTAAAGCAAAAATTGCATTATATTTACACAAGAATACAAAATATTAAAGAGCAAGTGTGAGTCGTTTTTAATTTAACACTAAATATACAGTTTAAGTTATTGGGGTGTCCAATCTGGTAGAATTGGTTTCCTTGTAGATAGGTACTTGAATATTCATAACATTAATAAAGTTTGGCGTTATCATAAAATATTTGGTAACTGAATTGAGTACATAAAATATGTTGATAAATTTAATCCTATAACATTGTTTGGAAAAAGCAGGTTACTACCTGCTTTTATTATACAGCTCTGGTATGAGTATCATAAATATGCATTTTTATTATTTAGTATTATTATTTACTTGATTATTATTGGAAGTGCATTCAATAACATAGATAATGTTTTTGATCTTTCACATCTACCTACATTATAACCACTATTATTTAATGAGTTTTTAGAACAATTTTCACCTTTAAAATATAAAACATAGTTGTAACCTGTCAACTATAGTGTTTACAATAAAGATGATACTAGGGTGCCTGACCTACCACCACTAATAGTACTTGAATTCTAGGTTTGAGTTCTGACACTATTACTTTCAAAACTAGGTAACTAAAACTAGATAAATGTTTTTATACCTAAATTGGCCAACTTGACACTGGAATAGTTTTAGCCTGTATTACCTTATTTATTATTTTATCATCAATAAAACTAACCATCTTCAATTGCAATAAAGAATGGGTGCTGCATTTACTTTAATACAATTTAAATAATTATAATTATAGAAAACAACAAAATAATCAACCTTCTACATCTAAAACTGATGTATCAATAAAGAATTTAGAGAGAAACATACCTAAAAACACATATTGTGATGGACATCCTATGAATGATATAAAAACTTTAGAGAATTGTCTCTTTGCGCATCTTAAGGACGACATTTTACCTTTGAGCAAAAGAAGAAAACTATTACGACGTTTAGAACGTAAAANTAGAAAACAACAAAATAATCAACCTTCTACATCTAAAACTGATGTATCAATAAAGAATTTAGAGAGAAACATACCTAAAAACACATATTGTGATGGACATCCTATGAATGATATAAAAACTTTAGAGAATTGTCTCTTTGCGCATCTTAAGGACGACATTTTACCTTTGAGCAAAAGAAGAAAACTATTACGACGTTTAGAACGTAAAAAAGAAAGAATTTTATCTCAGAATAACACAGTTATACTTGATAACTCAAATAGAAAACCAGTAAATCGTCCAGGCAGCCTTTGGGATGTTAAAGAACTGCAACATAAGATAAGTGATCCAGAAAGAAATAAAGATAAACTCATTGGACCAGTAAAAAAGACATTATATACTATTAAAAATAATAAAATCGTAAGATTAGAGCCAATGGATTCTTCAGAAAATAGTGAAGACGAGTACAGAGCAGTCAATATTGTAGTGCCTATAAACAATGCAGAGGCACAATTGCTTGAGGGCACAAAAATGAGTATAGATGATATCAAGAAAATTGATAGATTTAAAGATTATGAACCTGGTACACCTTCAAAGGTATTTGTTTATATTTGTATTTTGTTATACACTATTGAATTTATTATATTTAAAAACTAAATTTCATGAGACATAGAATTCACCCATTCAATTTGAAATAATTCAGAAAATTAAAAGCAAAAGAATTGGATAGTAATTATTTTAGGAGATTAATTAGTGAATGATACATTTACAGGTTTTATATTTGAAGAATATAGCACCAACGGTGACACAACAACAATTGTCTGTGCTCTTCAATCAGTTTGTATTGGACAACGGTGGGCCTATTGATGTTCGACTTATGACTGGTCGAATGAGAGGGCAAGCTTTTGTGCGATTCCAAAGTAAGCTTATATCTCTAATTTATGTAAAGATACAAACGAAGTACTTTTGTCTTTATTTAGGTCAGTTAGTACTTTTTATTTTAACTTTATGATTAAATCCATCAATTTATTATAATTCATAATAATATGAAGCTTGTTGTGAAATTGTCTTTGGCTATGCATCCAAAAAAAAAACCTGTACTACCAACCATTGAGAAGTTCCCTGGTCAGGATTCAAACTTTGCAGCAATCACATCTTGGTAGGGTACCCTGGATCACATTTTCTTCGACTACCCCAACATCGTATCCTCTCTTTATGATATCCTTCCCAATAACATTCCCCGGTCTATTAATATTAATTGTTTATTAACTTGAGTCTATTCTAAACATGTAAATACTCTGTACATTTTTATCTGCTAATAATATTTATCTCGAAAGTAGTTAGTCTAACATATATTTGTGCTGTTCTTAAAACCACAGATTCGCGTATGGAAAAACTGACCAAATTTATTTGTATTTAGATTTAATTTTTTCCCTCTCTAAGCACCTGTCATTTTTGTAAATACTTTGACATTGGCAAAATCAATGCCAAAGGCGTTGGAGCCAAATCATTTAAATTAATTAAAAAAAATTTTTTTTTTATTAAAACTGCCTATCATGGCAAACTGTACCCAAAATTTCATGTTCATGCTGTTAACAGTTCAGTTCCTATACCTATCTGGAGTTTATGCTGAAGTCTATTCAAGACATGTTTACCATAACTAGGCAGTATAGGCAGGCAGTATTGTCGAAACTTAACAGGCATGTAAAATTCAACTCCATTAGAAAAGAAAGCAGTTTCAATTTATTGTAAGATTTGACCACAAATATTCATCCAAGGTTAATTAAATATAAGATTGCAAAATTATGCTTCTTCTTCTTAATGTACTCTAATAAAGCCCAGTAACCACCTAACACCAGGTAGGATGTGAGTTTCTATGAGTCTATGTAAATCAAAATATTATTATGTTAACCATTAAGTACATTTTAGTAACAAAACATTTAGGACTGGTTTACATAGGTACCACACTGCTTACTGCCTATAAAATAGAGTTCTTGAAGTGGAGTTTGTTGTTAAAAATGAATGAGGAATTAAAGTAGTTCAATGTATTTAATTAACACATATTTTTCACTGTGTTTATTTATTCCAGATGAGAACTTAGCTATACAGGCGCTAACAGAAATAAATGGTACAATTGTATGTGGTCGTCCCATCATAGCACAATTCGGACGAAATACCAACAGGGTACAGCGCCACGAGCGTTAAGAAACATAATCATTATAATTAATTTAAAGTGATATTATTTACTAGTTAAGTTTACTCTATTATATTATGTAACCGTAAATAAATTGTCTATGACGTTCTAATTGTTTTCTATTCTATCTTTTAAATTTAAGAATTTCCTTTATACTAACTTAGGGCTACCAATCTAATGTTTCGCCAAAAAATAAATAACATTTCAGGGCAAAAAAATAATACATACACAGCATGTTTTTGAGAGAAGCAAAATTCCACCTTTTTTTCTAAATTAAAGCACTAATATAATCTACATCCACTTACAACAACCAAGTTATGTAATTTTTATAATAATAAAAATATGGTGAACCTGGAAAGTTAAATTACTGTTAACCTCTTTTTTATATTTTTTGCATATACAAGTACACAGGCTTACAGTCTACCAGGTATTAAGAGATACTCGCAACCCTTGACCATCAAAATATGAATCTAAGCAATAAAAAAAAAAAATTCAAACTGGAATAGATGAACCGAAACCAATGTTCATGATTGCAAACAGACAGGATAGTAGTACTCAGCTGTGCAGTGTTAGAATACGCCTTACGATCTCTAATTCTATAAATTTTCATTTGTACCTACCTACATACCTACAGGATTGGAACACTGGCACTGTCGCATCCTTTGATACGAGTACACAAGGCTTCTTAACCTTTAAGCCACGACTTCTATATATTCGACTCATTAGATTCGTCTTAACGAGTACTATACACAAATGGTGCATTTAAACTACACTTTATTATAAACTTATATGGGTTCTTGCGATTTTAATCAAAACGTTGACATATAAAAATACTGAGAACATTCCCATCATGTATGTTACACTTTAATCCTTATTCAATAATTCTATCCTAATTCGATTTGTAATATAATCATTTTAACTTTTGAATTTGAAGAATAAAAAATTGATTTTGTGTAAAAAGTAATCTAAATGAAATTACGAACTGTGTCTCCGTTATAAAAGATTGTTAGGTCCCTCTCCTCACTTTTTCAATATAAAGGTACATCAACTTCGATAGTCAAAATATCGATCACTCAGTATAATTTTTCACTATAGTCTGTTCACTGAGTGTTGTCCTTCGGGGAAGGCTTGCGTCGTCTTTTGACGACGCGTTTAGGCGACGATCATTCATTCTCTTTCTTAGGCTGTGGCTCCTCCTCTGTGAAACAAATCATTTAATTAAATCATTGCTTAACTCAGTAAAGATTAAACACAGACGAAATATCACGCCATGAACGCAACCATTTCTGTATTACTGTTACATAACAAAAACAAAATCGTTAGTCACCCATGCAAACGGATATGAATTAAGACCCAACAAGTGTTTATTTTCATGTGAATGATTAAAAAAAATGAGCATGCATATTTACAACCAAATACGTGTGAAAAAGTGCCGCAGTATTATTGATCACTTTTCTATGTTACCTTTTGGTTTAGATGTATATTTATCCGTTTATTGACGTCATGGCAGAAAGTTATCATGGTCTCCTCTAACCATAGTCCGCTCGACGTCACTAGGGCATCTCGTGTATTCGACGCCTACCTGGTACAGTACTCACGTTTGACGTCGTGATGCTGTGGAGGCGCGTGGTGCGGTAGATGCGCGTAGTGTTCGGGCGGGGCGGCGGCGGGGTAGTATGGGTGCGGCGGGTGTGGGGGGTGCGGGGGGTAGGCGCCGGGGAACCCGCCCCCGTACCCGCCGTAGTACCGGCCGCCGTACGGGGCGCCGTACGCCCCCACTGCGCGTACATTTCATACTTATTGTGATAACACGACTCCGATTACACCAGTCTTAGTGTGGCTCACAACGTTCTTTATCTGAGATTTTAACCTAGCATCCGACCGATCTTGTGTGATTTTCTATTAAATGAAATATCCTTCAGTTTTTTAGAAAAAAATGAGTGCCCACTATTAGTCGTTCATAATACTGACATTTCTATTTTATTTGTACAATATTTTTTATAAAACATAGATACAAGGCATATTAAATTAGTAAACCACTGAAAACTAGATTATTTGGTTCATCGACCAAACCTAAAAATTAAATGTTTCTATGAACATTACCAAGACTCATGCTATTTGTTGTCTCTTGTATCTATGACATTTGTATATCACCGTTGGTTTCTTAAGAACAATTCAGATTAGCTTTTCCATTGCATACCCGTTACGAAAAACGACCATCATCATGAAGCATGTTTTATGAACCACAGCTGTGACTCCAGAGTGCTACCCGCAATATATTTGTGCGCATTAAAACTCCCTTATAAATGTGAATACCATATTTACACCGTGATGATAGAAAGATGTGAGAATGGACAGCGACCAAAGTGCTCGATTGATGTGAGAATATGTTAGTCACGAGTGAGTTTATAGTACAATATGGCACCTGTTGGCGGTGGAGGACCCCCGTGAGCTGGCGGGCCGGGATGCGGAGCAGCTGTAGGATTCGACGCCATCATCATTGCTGTATTAAACATATAGTTAATAATATAAAAATGAATTTCTGTCCGCTAGTCTCGCTAAAACTCGAGATCAGCTGGACCGATTTGGCTAATTTTGGTCTTGAATTATTTGTGGAAGTCCAGAGAAGGTTTAAAAGGTGAATAAACATGAAAATGCTCGGAATTATATTAAAACAAACATTTTGTTTTTGCTTTCATGTGTCCCCTGTCTGACAGTTTCCTTTTGTTTTTTTTAAGTTTATTTTATACAAAAGCTTAGGTCTTTTATTTATCAATTGAGGCACTACGAAGTCTGCCGGATCAGCTAGTAGTTAATAACAAAATCAGTGGTTTAACAATAGAACATCAACATTTTCGAGTTTTTCGTGTGAAAATTAGTTACCGTGGTGTGGAGGCGAGGTCATGTGCGGAGGGTGCGCGGGCGGGGGATGCTGCGGGGCGGGAGCGGGTGGAATGCTTTCCTTGTTCTCCATTTTGACCTCTACTGGTTTTTCTTCTTTACGATCTCCTGCACATAAAAAATACTTTACATTTTTTAATCACTCCCTACCCCGTCCTTAACCAAGTATCTCAATGTTTTTGAAACAAAAAGATATTGGTACTCTACAGTAGTCAAATGTCGTGGAATATTGGGTGTATGTGTGATTGTGTGTGTCTGAACTCAATATTTAAACAATTTATTACAATTTAAATGTCATCAAACCGTATGATTGCTGAATGTCAAAGATAAAAGGTCTTATCACTAGGATAGTCCTGGGAAGATCGGCCAAAAAACACTGCGCGATAATTGGTGGTAAAGTTATGACAATAGAAAGTACTTGTAAAGACCTATATTGAATATAAACACTTCGAATTTGATTTACAATATTCCATCAATCATTTTTTTTAAAGTACCTTAACTCATTTTTTTGTTTTTCTCTTTTACAAGGACATTTACATTTTTTTATAAAAATTACAAATAAAATATTAAACGAAACAGTTTGGAACAGAATCCTGCCTACATCATACTGTATGATAGATAATTATTGACTTAATAATTTAAAATTTTACGCACTATGTTTAGTTAATAACTGAACATCTTGTAGGATCTTGTAGTAAAAAAGCCCCCTAAATGTTTAAATTATTTTGTGTATTCTTATACTAATATTACATGTTGTGCGGTGTCGATCTGCAACAGTATTTAGTATAGTTTCTTATTATGATGTTTTCAGTCTCACCCTCGTCATCTGCCTGGCTTGGTCCATTTTCAGGTTCCTTTTCTCTTGGCTCCTCGACTTTTATGTCAGTTGCTATGGAATCAGGCTTCACGTCACTGGTAGACACTTTGTCCACTTGAGTGGGAGGATGAGGTCCGTTTGTTTCTGGTTTACTTGGATTTTGATCTTGGTCCATCGGCTGTGTATCAAATTTATTTATTTATTATTCTTTAACAAATAAGACATAGTTTTATATTTATTTACATTGTTGCAAATGTTGTAAAATGATGGGTACCACCTATCTACGGGGATCTATTTTACATTGTTCTTTGAGTTAACAAAGACAAGTTTTTAATTTTTTTTTATTGCCTTTGCATGCAGCGAGCATACGGCCTACCTGATGGTAAGCGGTTACCATCCCTAATGGACGTCAGCAATGCCAGGGGCAGAGCCAAGCCGCTGCTTAAAAATAAAATAAAAAAATTAAAAATACATTAAAATAAAATTAAAAAATGTTGGATAATAATGTATGTTCTAAAGTCCTTTTGGCAAATAATATTACTTGGTAAATCAGTAGACGTTGCAGGGAAAAATGTTTGTTGTATATTATACTTATTACATATATTTCTGTGAAGCATGTTCAGTCGATAGGTATTTTGAAAGCGATAGTACATTATCTCTTTTTCAAAACACTGATTGTTTTATTGTTTTGTAGTATGTTGTGGTTTATATATAATAATTTATTTTATTTGATATGTATTTCTTATCTATGTATTTATTTATTTATTTTGGAAAAGTAATTATAAATATTTATTTTCACTCATGTCTACTATAGTGCTTTAAATTATCGCCATGTATTAACTTTATCACAGCTATGCACTTCTTCAATCTTTCACTTCATCTGTTTTTTTTCCTACCTAAGCTGATAGCCTTGAGAGGCTATATCAGCGGAACCTTAACTAGTGGTGAGCTCACGGGGCTCAAACCTGACGACGTTGCTAACACGAACCCTAGCAAGAGCCGTGCTTCGCAGAATCTACCACCGGATCGGAAACCCGAACCACTAAGAAGATCCGGCGAGAAACTCAGTGGGCTGTGTCTGAGGGTTAATTTACTCGTCGAACCCGAACACGTCGCGACGGGTTCGACGAGAACGGTGAGCGGTGCTTGGGATACCTAAAAGCACCTCACTTCATCAACGAGGGTTAACTGGAAGAGAATACCTGTCTGCCGTTAAGTTCGCTTTTGTATAATGTTTTTGTGCAATAAAGATTTTTCAATCGATCAATCAATTTTCGAATGAAGCATACCTCGTCTTTCTTCTCGGCGTGAGCGACGGCGCTGAGCGACTGCGAGGTGGGGTTGATCCCGCGACGCATCTGCTCCAGAGCTCGCTCCACCATGCGCTGGAATGTGTCCTCGTCCACAGCCGGCCTGCAGTGCTGGAAAAAATATTAACATTATTTCATTTTCCAAAACTAAAATGAATACCGGAGCATTTAATAAATTCACATTAAATAAGACAAAATTACTAGTTTCCTTTTTTTTTATTGCTTTGACGTGTGGACGAGCTCACAGCCCACCTGGTGTTAAGTGGTTACTGGAGCCCATAAACATCTAAAACGTAAATGCGCCACAAGCTTTGAGATATAAGTTCTAAGGTCTCAAGTATAGTTACAACGGCTGCCCCTCCCTTCAAGCCGAAACGCATTACTGCTTCGTGGCAGAAATAAGCAGGGCAGCGGTAACTAACCGTGCGGACTCACAAGAGATCCTACCATCAGTAAAAAACTACTTTTTACTATTTTTTAATAACTAGCTAACATGGGTAAGTGCTTACACGCTGATATTATCAATGGACGTATACATGGATGTCAAACTTTCAAACTGTCCCAACCCCACAAACTGGGAAAGATTACAAAATTACGGCGGAGACTGCATAATGGTAACAGTTCATACTTGCTTAGATTTCCATTAGGGACTTTAAGAATGGTATATGGGATAATACTTAAGTACTATAATATCCAAGTGATGCTTGAAAAATTGAAACATACATAATGATAAAATCGATTTCTGAAATAAATTTTAGGTACCTTCTTGAGTTCCTCTTGGAATGCTTCGCTGCTCTCAATAAACTTGCGTTTCTTGGCTTCGAACTTCTCTTCAATCTGTTGCAATTCATCTTCCAGCTTCTTCTGGTGCATTGTTAAGGACTGCACTTGTTTTTTCAATATCTGTGAGTCATAATTTAGTTATTGTGATATGTTTTTTCATTTATACGTAGCTATTTTTTTATTTATTGCTTAGATGGATGGACGAGCTCACAGCCCACCTGGTGTTAAGTGGTTACTGGATTCCGTAGTCATCCACAACGTAAATGCGCCACCCATCTTGAGATACAAGATCTAAGGTCTCAAGTATAGTTACAATATAGCTATATTTTATTACATTTATACTCATATGTTACAATACAATGAAGTATTCCAAGCTACTCTCTAAGTCTCTGACACTACAAGAAGGCACATATCAAAATAAGCTTTTACACTTTGAATGAACTTTAAAATTAATTTAATCTTGGTATAAACAGCATTTGTTGACAAACTTATTGTTGGATTTTGTTTTTTAAAAGTTCTTGTAGAGATGTTATACTCCTCTGGTTTCTCTCCGTAGATTACAAATTTTTCGCATATCGTTTGGTACACGGATTCTGCAGCATTATTTCAATATGTATCTTAGTTCCTAAGCTTGTTGAGTTTTTCGGTCATGTTGCGAGGAAATAGGGTGACAATCTCCAAAGACTTCTCATCACCGGCAAAGTGGAAGGCAAGAGGCCTAGAGGGCGTAGTCCCATGCGCTGGTCCGAACAGATTAACACGACTTTGGACTGTCGCTATCCACTGCGCGGAGGACAGAAAGGAATGGAGGAACATAATCCTAACAAAAATGCTCCGTAAAGGTCACGACCCTCAGCACTGAGGAATACGACGCACGGAGGAGGAAGCTTGTTGATGATATAAACGAAGTACTTGTACACACGAATTTATACCAGTCCGGGTCAGTTTCGTTTTGAGCAACCGCAAAGTAAACCGGGTAAAGTGTAAAGCTTTTCCTTGCAGCACCATAATTTATTCTTCTATAATTTACCTGCATCCTAGCGGTGGTGACGACCGACCGCACATCCGGCACCACAGTGTCGGAGAATATTTCGTTGATGAGACGATGATTTCGTAGATAACGAGCGTATGCCACATGCTTCACAGATAGACCTTCGTCTTGATCTGTAAATAAACATAACATTACAATATATTCTCGGAGCAGTAGCTATCATAGAACATGTTATATACACGCATATTTGATAAAGCCTAAATCGTGCTAACGAAATTTTCAAGATTGCTTAGATAATAGTCCCGAACATTGAGACCGTGGCTCGACGATTTTTAGCCAACTGGTAGAACTCTTCCAACTCTTCCTTTGTCGGTACCTCCAAACTCTCTTTTGAAGTGGACGAGCTTGTATCATTAGATGAAGTATATTCCCTAGCCAAGAATTGAATCATGCTAATGACGAAAAAAACTATAGAAAACTATAGAAAAAACTCAGAGACAAAAAATAGTGATTCATTGATAATGATAAAACTCAAAAACTTGTAACATGTATAAAAAGTTAGTCATTTGTATTGGATTGTTTAAAATTTGTCACGACATTTTTTTTTTGTTTTATTTATCACATACCTTCCTCGTCTTCAGCTGGTTGTATGTCAATTCGTCTGTCTTGCTGTTGTTGCTCTTTTTGTGAACTGCCTTTTTTAGTAGAGGTCTCTTCTTCCAAGTTACCTACTACTAATGCAATATGTGTTAATGATTTACCTTTGATTAAACTTTAGCATAGATATGATTTATTACAGTGCAATGTTGAGAAAGACGCCACATGGAGAAAAACAAAACCATTATATTATGAGACTTTCCCTTACAATGACATTGAATGAATTGAAGCAAACAGTAGACAATGGCTTGTTGTGTTCCTGGCATTGTTGATGTCGATGAACGATGGTGACTATTTACTATCAGGTGGGCCGAATGATCATCTGCCTATAATGTCTAAAAAAATATACAAATACAAATCTTGAAAACAATTGTAACTACCAAACCAGATTGTGCAAATTAGTTAATAACAGCTAGCTGAGTGAGTATAATTTATCTTCTACTATTATCATAAATTGGAGGAAGATAAACTCATCAATTAATTAAATTCTGCCGATACCAGTATTAATTTAAGATCTGCTATGAACATGCTTTACTTGAACCATTTTTCTTAGATTCTGAATTAACATTATATATATTTTTCACATCAAAGCCGATTCAAAAAACTATAATCAGTTAAATCATGCATCCCCTTACCTACGGCTTTATTTTTGGCTGCAATGTAAGCGAGGTACGCGGGAGAATTGTGGTACGCCTTCAAGCTTTTCTCATATTCGGACTAGTGTCGTTTCGTGTGACAAGTGCGCCCCGAACGTGCGATTATATGGATGGTGCATGTGAACAAATATACCCTTAAAATGTGGTGTATCGGTGTTAGTCACAATGTGCAGATGGAAATCAAGTGGCATTCATATTATCAATAAATATCAGTCTATTAGACGTCTTGTCGGAGTTATAAGCGAAACTGCTTCCCTTTTTTCAAAGCTGTTAATTTTTTTTTTAAATAAGTCATCTATAACAGTAAGCTTTCATAATTATTTTTAAGTCAATTAATTTCCATCATTCAATTATATGCTTATCAACATAATGTATTGTATACAATGGCAATGCTGAATTTCTTAATATCTTTTAGTACATGAATTTTTTATACTGACCAAAGTCAACGGCTAAAGAAATTCAGTGTGATATTATTATTTTTAAAATGGGAACAATACATATGAATACAAACATTCAACTGTTTAAATGTGTTTACTTCTTTTTTACCATGCAAGTATCAAAATATGAGACTCACATGTACGTAAATAAATCACATTAAACATTATCTCCTACTTTTGTTGAAGCGTTTCCATAAACACATATAACCAGTAATTTCGAGAAAACCCAGCTAAACTTTGGTGTTAAATCAAGCTTTGGTTGTGATGCTGTGTACACAATGCCCTTATGTTCAGTTTATGAGGCACAATACCTCGGTTTTTGTGGGCCAGCCACTGTAAGTACGCAGGGGACGATTGGTAAGCTTTCAACAATTCTGTATACTGCGCCTGAATTCAAATGTTTTACTTTATATTATCTGCCTTTACATACATCTATCATATCTATGGGCTGAGAGTTTCGTTTACATCATAGAGATCCAATACTTGCTCTCAGTATTTAGCAGCAATAGTATATAAAATTAAAAAAAATAACATTATTTTAAATGTATAATTGTACACAGAAATTGAAATTTGTTTCTTTAAGCATTTTTATATGTTACTAGCTGTGCCCGTCTGCTTCTCTGGGCATTTAAAATAAACATTATTATTTCTCACCCCCATAAAGATTCTCATCGTCAACACCCCCGCAACTGGTGTAGGGAGTCCAACACTCATATAAATATTAGCCCATCCATTAAGTACATGTATTTTCTACATGGATACTAAGTTTCAAGTCAATCGGATGCATGGTTCAGTAGTTATAATGGAACATCCGTAAAAACCACTGTAGTGTATAATATTAAGCATAGAAGTATAGATTTTGCATCAGCAGACAGACTCTCATACCTTTTCAGCTTCATATTCATCGACAAACCCAGCTTTCTCAGATTCAGGCAGGTCCCTCCACATGCCGCCTATTATACGTCCAATTTCCCATAGTTTGAGGTCTGGATGTGCTGCTTTTACACTGTCCCATACACGGCGTGAGTACCTCATGTACGGCATGAGAGGTTTTTCTGGAGGTTTTGGTGGCTTTGGTAGTCCGGCTCCCTGGGGTAGTAATAAATATGGTTTGTTATATAGGACACAAAAATTTTACAAGTTAAGACAGCTTTTGGTATTTGTGGCTTTTTGTATTAATGTAAAGTGTATTTTGAATACAGTAACAAATAGTGATACAGATTATACTTACAACACCAGCACCTTTCCCGATTTTCTGAGGTTGGAATCCAGGATGTGAATGTACGGTGGATACAAATGGACTTGTCTTATCATCTTTGGCACCTTGTGAGGGCTGTGAGGCGGAGGCCGCGCGGCGGGCGCCCTCTGCAGCGAAACGGCCCTGTTGCTGGGGGGCGTGCCACGGACCGTAGCCCCCCGGGGGACCCGGGTGAACCATGCCCCCCCCACCTTGGTATTGCGGGTGGTACTGATATTGGTTATGGTGCGGCGACGGTGCATTCATACCGCCTTCAAGCCAAGCAGCGGGCGGCAATACAATGAAAGAAAAAAAAACAAAAAGCGTAAAGGAGCAGGACGGGAGGGGAGCCAACAAAAATTCAAATATGCACTAAAACATCTAGAAAAATTAAAAAATAAACGTTAAGAAAGTTATTTGCGAGCAATCTAGCTGTAAATTTTTTAGTAGGCTTTAATTAGCGAAAGACTAAAGAGGTGATGGCTTGTGTCGTTGAGAGAAGAGAAAAATTTTGTGCAATTATCTTTTTTAATAACCCCACAGAAATACCTAAGTTTTGAAACGAAAATGGGTGTGTGATACAAAATTTTGAATAGAAAGTCAATTTAGATTGTGGCATTACCTTTCATCATGCCGAAACTCATTGGGGGGCCCGCAATCATGTAGTCTGTATCATTATAACAAAACATGAAACAAAACCAACATAATAGAATGTAAGTCTAAAATGCATTAGGATAAAATTAAAGTAAGAAAAAAATAAGTTTTGTTACTGTAGCTTAAAAGCTAAGATATGGGAGTCATGCTCTAAGTAAAAAGTTTAAATGCAGTTAGATACCAGCTATATCAGGTACAGTTCTCAGCACTGCCAAGCTTGCAATGGCGACAACTTCACATGTTAATGAAGTTAGTATCTAACAACATTCTTACTAACAATAAACAATCTATTTGATAAAATACTAAAACTATTGCCATTAATATTTTATTAAAAAAATCTAACGTAATTAGCGCTGCTATCATTACATTAGCTTATTACTAACTTATTTCTTACTAGTTTATAATTTAAAATATACAGTGTAATGTGTTGATTGCCATCTTGTCCCTCCATTATTTTGCTGCAAGAAAACTCACAGCATATCAATGTAAATACGAAGAGGTCTCAGGAAACATTTAAATCAGATCAGACTTAAATTAAGAGAAAATCCAACAAAGTTTATATAAAAGGAAACATTTTTAAAAGATTAGTATTATCTAGTTTTTAAATAAAATTAGCTGTTTAGAACATATCATTACAAATTCAATGGCAGTCAACATTCACTACATTAATAATATTTAAAATTTAATAGAATAAATATTTAAATTTTTTGTGATTATAGTTGGTAATACAAACGCGGATTGCTCTGAGGACTGGGCATTGACATCGAAGTGTTTTGTTTGTAATTGTTTTGTGTAGCCATTGGCACACCTGAAACCAAATTTTGAATTTATTCCAAAACAAGCATATTTATTGGCTTATCCTTCTTTCACAAAAACATACAACAGTATGGCATAATTTTTTTGTACTCATAGTTTATGAGCTAGTGTCATAGTCATATTATACATTTTATAAAACAAGTCTCACACCATTACAAACTCAATACTGGTGAAACTACTTCACAAGCACTTCTTGTTCAAATTTTTGGGATGTATATAATTACAGAAAGAACACCAGCTGTATAAAGGGCATTATTTAAAAAATGTATTGCAGTTATGGCAATTTAATTTCAATCCCCTCGTTTGCATTTTATTAAGTTTCATTCAATGATTTCTAGTCTACATAAGGTGTTTGGGAAAATAAACAAAAATATAACCTTAATCTGTACATAATACTTTTAATTAAATAAAACAAGAGACGTTGTCGATATTGAAAGTCAGTTCGTTTTTATTCGCTTCATTTTATAACCACTTTGTTGAAGGGACGCTGAATGACTAATATTACAAATGATTAAATTGGAGTCTTATTTGGATAGGCTAATATAAAGAGGCTCTATGATCACGCTGTGTTTGCATTGTTAAACATATTAATGAACTTGCCAACAGTACGGCTGTACTTAAATTTAAAGATAACTTAAAATGTTTAATTTTTTTGAATGAAATTGCTTGGAAATAATGCAACAATTATTTTATAAGTCTGTTTACTTTTTTGTTGTAATACGAACAAATCCGCTATCAAGATACATTGTTTATAAAAATAAAGTTTTATGCAACCATATTACTGACTTACTTATTTAGTAAAAACCAAAGAGTAAAGTAAGTTAAAACTTAATAAATGATATATCGTACTACCTTATCGCTTTTATTGAAAGTTCAAGCTTGGTTTAATTTTTAGAAGGCTTGATAATGGCAACGCGTCTTTTTCATTAAAATACTAACGGGCCTATTTCAATCTCCATCTTTCATTCCATTTTTAATTTAATTGAACCAAATGACAATTGACGTTGTCAACGTAGATTAGAGTAGAGCAATTTATGGTATCAAATGTGACACATAGTTTTGTTAGTCGATTATTAAATTGTACGTTCATTCTAAGGTCGTTTTAAAATGTTGATTTTGATAATTTAGGATCTCTTCGCGTTTAAATGTGTAAAAATTATGATTTGTTAACTGTTTGGCATTAGTGAAAGTGTATGTACAGATGTGGGAAAATTAAACAAAGCAACTGAACGTGGCTTTTCTGGTTTTTCGAAAAAGTCCACCGAACTTTCAGTAAATAACCACTATTTTGCTGCTCTTGGGTTGTTAGGTCTCTTTCGAGGCGCTCGGGCAGTTGTTAGCAAATCCTGGCTGAGTGTTTGCTCGCCGATCTGTCCTGGCGAAATTGAAAAGGCCTCCGGGCCACCAGTAATCTCTCAATCCTAAAAAAAACTGTATTTTACTGAGATTTTACTTTTTTTTTTATCCCATTTCATGTCGTCTCTTTTAATTTCATCCCAATTGATTGAAGACTCAAATTAATGAAGTTAATCTCATATCGCACAGCATTTTTCATATAACGGAATAATAGAAGCTTTTATATACTCTGTATAGAAATCTTTTAAATTAAGCTAAGATAAAAGAGAATGTAACTATTGGCCATAAATAAACATTAAGAAAACAAATGCCTGATTTAAAAAAAAAGAAGAAGAAGAAAGAAGCTGGTTTGGAAGATAAAATGCCAACACAACGATACACGATAAGGGGGGTAATGGGATCGCGTTGTTGTTATGAAGAAACGTTACCTACATTGTCTTCTTTTTTTTACTTGCAAATAACGCCCTTGATGATATTGTTGCTATCGTCACACATACAATTTACATTAGAGCAATACCTACGCTAATGGTAAATACATAAAGGTAATAACTGCTAGAATGCAGTTAGTTTGTTCAAGGCGCACTGAACAAATTTTTAAATTAATTTATTAAAAAATTAAATGTTATTTAAGTCACACTAAAATACATTATAAATACATGCAATGGTCATATAAACTCATTCACAACGAAGGGCTGTTTTGACTATGGGCGGGGTGCAAGTGAGCGTTTATGGATTCGATAAAAGCTATCTAGCATATGAAGCTAGGGTACCTTTTAATATTATTCCAAGATAGGTGTGGCTTGACATTGCGAAATTAGTAGATGATATTATGCTAATTGTCATGTTACCAGATTTCATTGTTTGGGCCTATCTGTACATGTATAAACTAAGGCTACGTACTGTGTGTGACTTATGTCTGCGGCTTTGGAAACAGAGTATTCAGATTCACTAGTGCGGGACAAACACGCTGATCGAGACTGTGTTTTTTTTTATTGCTTAGATGGATGGACGACCTCACAGCCCAATTATATAATTGTGTACAATTGCTTTAATTCAGATAGTCCAACTCGGCTGTGTCTTCAGTTCTTCTTCGCCAGGGGCGGCGTACGAAGGGAAGCTATTCCGACTCCATACAAATTAGATTTAACTTCAACGCGATCGAGCAATTAAAACCCTCGCACTAAGCACACACGAGGTAGACCGCTGGCGACGTCCGTCGATGGAAAACTGGTGAACGATTTACATAATCTACTTAAATGAATCGCTTTTTTAACGTTTCCATTTACAGACTTAATCTAAATGTATTTTAACTAAAAACTCGTTATTAAGATCCTAGAGGCTCCTTATTATCTAGAGGCTATTAAAGACATTTTCATCTTAAGTGAATTTAATCATGCAACATTGTTATAACTACTTTTACTGGTGGTAGGACCTCTTGTGAGTCCGTGCGAGTAGGTACCACCGCCCTGCCTATTTCTGCCGTGAAGCAGTAATGCGTTTCGGTTTGAAGGGTGGGGCAGCCGTTGTAACTATACTGAGAACTTAGAACCTATATCTCAAGGTGGGTGGCGCATTTACGTTGTGGATGTCTATGGGCTCCAGTAACCACTTAACACCAGGTGGGCTGTGAGCTCGTCCACCCATCTAAGCAATAAAAATAAAAAATAAAAACTAAATGCCTACCTCATTCTAAACGCTAAGCCCTAATGGTATGTGCTCCGTGAAGCGTGCGCTTATTGTGTGCATGAGTGTTTAGAATGGAATCCAAGCTGGTTGAAGATAAAAGGATGCCCTCGGAGAAGACAAATCTCCGTGACACTTGCAGAGCAGATGCCCGTACAATTTATCTTGGGACATGAAGAGGCAAGGCAATAAAACATAATCGGATGGTAGCCTACTGCCTAAGACGCGGTCTTTTGTTTTATCAGACCCATGAATGCTGATAACGTTTTCTTCTTTCCACACCCCGGTGAAGGTACAGTTCATATTCATAGTATATAACAGTTACCCCTCTATATGCAGTTCCCGAGATCGAGTGTCATTGTGGCCTTAAGAATAAGACGCCCGATTAACTCTAATCGAGCAATACGACTATACTGTTGTTAAATGCCCAGAGGAAGATAACAATTTTTGTAACATACGTACGTATGTATTCACACTTATACGAGTAGGTATAATGTCTACGTATGACTTCCACGATGGAAAGAGAACGTTCATGTCCTTACGGATCCATCAGATCCAATAACTCTTGCATTAGACACCTTTAGTTCTAACACTAGGAGTAGAGATTCCGGTAACCGTACTCGTTAAACTCGGCAAAGAGTTCGACGTGCAACCTAACCTAAACATCAGCCCGCTGAGTTTCTCGACGGATCTTCTCAGTGGGTCGCGATTCCGATCCGGTAGTAGATTCATTCGCGAAGCAGCGACTTTTGAGTTGTAAGGTATCCTTTGGAGGCACTGGGGTAGCTGTTAGCAAATCCCACCCCTCCTGGATGAGCCCATGCTCGCCCATCTGCTCTGGTAAAATTGGAAACGCCTCCGAGCCACCAGTAATCTCTCACACATAAAAAAAGGTATAACGTCGTGTATTTAATAAAAATCAAAACCGGAAAAAATATACAATTATTGATGGTAGGGTATCTCGTGAGCTCTCTCTGGTAGGAACCACCACACGGTCAGTTCCTGTCGCGAACCAATTATGTGTTGTTGGTTGAAGTGCGGCACAACCTTTAAATTATAAAATTAAGACTTAGACCTCACGTCTCAAGGTGAGTTATCATCAGCCTGTGACAGTCCGCTGCTAAACATAGGCCTCCCCAAAGCTCGCCACTGAACCCGATCTTCGGTTCGACGCATCTAGTTACTGCCAGCTGCCTTGCGCAGGTCGTTGTTCCATCTAGCAGGAGGGCGAAGGTGATTAGCAACATTCACATAGTGTTATCTATGGGGCGCTGTAATTGTTTAACACTAGATGGACCGTGAGCGACTTTCACCCATCTGTTAAGTATAAAATAAAATAAATGATCTTGAATGAATGAGTAGTACGTAATAGAATACGTATTGAGATGTTTTATTTAACATGAAACAGCGGCGTGTCAATGATTAGAACTTTGTGATTTTCCCTGACGAATCGGATTGCCTTAGATAATTTTATTAAGATAGCGAAATGATAAAACTACATACATAATATCATTATTATAATACTCTGTATTACGCGACTAGCGATGTCTCTGCACGATATGTATATACGTCGTTTCATAATTATCTATACATAAGTACCTACAGAGTGTAACGGTTGTGTTTAGTGTGCTTAGCTTGCGAGTTTTTTAACATTCTCGATAGCGTAAAAATGAACAAAAATTTGTATGCAGTTGGAACAGCGCCCCTAGCAGCAAACGTAGGCAAACGTTCCAACTCCATACAGATTTGAGTTAACTTTTACGCTATCGAGAACGTTAAAAAGCTCGCACTAATCACACTGAACGTTTGGAAAATAACTGTTTTAATAATGACGTGTTAACTGTGTGCTAGTGCGAGTTTTTTAAAAGTTAGCCCAATTTTGTATGCAGTTGGAACTGCGCCCCTAGCGGCAAACGTAGGCATTTTTTTTTTCGTACCTATGCTGATAGCCTTGAGAGGCTATTTCAGCTTCACCCTAACGTTTGTAGGTGAGCTCACGGGGCTCAAACCGAAGAGTTGCTAACACTGGCCCTAACAAAGAGCAATGCTTCGCAGAATCTACCACCGGGTCGGAAACGCGACCCACTGAGAAGATCCGGCGAGAAACTTAGTGGGCTGTGTCTATGGGTTAATTTACTTGCCGAGCCCTTCGTCGCAAGCGAGGGGTTCGACAAGAACGATGACCGGTGCTTGGGGTACTTAAAAGCACCGTTAGTGGATCGGGAAGATCCGATTTTTTTTTAACTCCCTACCTAGCTGATAGCCTTGAGAGGCTATTTCAGCTTCACCCTAACGTTTGTAGGTGAGCTCACGGGGCTCAACCGGAGAGTTGCTAACACTGACCCTAGCAAGAGCAGTGCTTCGCAGAATCTACCACCGGATCAGAAACGCGACCCACTGAGAAGATCCGGCGAGAAACTCAGTGGGCTGTGTCTATGGGTTAGTTCGCTCGTCGAGCCCTTCGTCGCAAGCGACGGCTTCGACGAGGACGGTGACGGGTGCTTGTGGTGCCTAAAAGCACCGTTAATGGATCAGGAGGTTCCGTAATGACGTGAGGTAGGCAAACGATCCAACTCCATACAAATAAGAGCTAACTTTTACGCTATCGCGAACGTTAAAAAACTCGCACTAAGCATACTGTACGCATTTTAAGAAAAATCAGTTGACGTGTAATGGTCTCGTGTTTCGATCAGCTAATTTTGCTTTGGATTGCGTGTTCACGAAGTACTGACTAATTGAAATGTTAACGATTGTAACAGAAGATGATTTTAACAGAAACAGAAATAATTCCTGTTCCAACCACAGGAACATTTGTTATTCTACTTGCTATTACGTTTTTCTTTGGAGTCCATAGAAATTACAACGTACACAACGAAGGAAGGGCGTCTTAAAAAGACTAGGATGGATTTTATGAAAGAGG